TTTACGATTTACTGTTAATTACTGCAACTTTCCTGTTTAAACTTCCACAATTTTCGGAAGTGGAATTCTCCTTCGAATCTTTCTTTGGATCCACTAATTGCATTGCTTTGTTTGACGAATCTCTTTAATCCGTGTCAGCAGAGTTTCCTTGCGATTCCGAAGAAATGCGAGGCAATTTGTCTCCAACCAGTCTGAAGCTTTTTACAATTTAATGCATAATTTTAACGAGTTCAACGCTCCCTAGTCTTTGCTTCCTTGATGATGCCTTTTCGGCATTTTGACATTACTCCAGTGTTCGCTTGAATTTGAAGGGAGAATGGAGGTAAAAAGGAGGAAAATAACCGAAAAGAGGTCAATTGATGTGAGTAGGCAGTTGCGTAGATGACTTGGCGGTAGCGCTTAGACGAAGCGAAGAGGTGAAATTAATTAAACAATCATCCATCAAAGGCATAATCATAGAAAGTGTCACTTAGCCCAGGATTGAGCTGTTTACGCTGTCCACTAGGCAATCGGTTCAGAGGAGAAAGTTACATGAATGTACTCACCAAAGTGAGGACTGCGAAGGTGGACTAATAAGGAAATCGTCCATCCATTCCTCTTCCTGAGAAGAAGCAGGAAAACACACCTATCAGAAGGGAATAAAAAAGGGGATATTAAGAGACGCAGGCAAAAGACAGAATAACAAAGCCCCGTTTTGTGTGGCCTGGAGTTCTGCCGAGCCAATTTGGAATGCGATGCTCGTCAGAGGTGAAATGACTGAGTAAACTCTTTCACAGTGTTTAAACAACAGACCAGCGCAGTACTTGGGAATTCTGCTATCCGGACGCATCAATGAAAAGCGAGGAATTTGGGCCTTTCAAGCAAGTCGTTTCCATCATTTGTTGCCTTCCGCTCACCTTCCAACAAACAAAACGCGAATTCAGATGGCACATGAAAGTGAATTATTCCTCTGGAAACTAAGTTAAAAACGCCGCTTATAGAAAGTGCGTGGTTACGAACAAGTAAATGCAATAAAGGCACAGAACTCCTTCATAGATAGCCAAGCTTCTCTTATTTTACAGTGATCAATGGTGCCATTTAACGAGCAGGAACTAGGGCCACACAAGTGCCTTTGTACTCCGGGTGCCCATGATGACGCACAGCGCGATGTGAGTCAGACCGTATCTTGTGTGGATTTGGGTGAACAATCGAGAGTTGAAGGAATGGGAGTAGGGGACGACCTTTCTCAACGTCGCAACCATATCGGCATTGGAGCATTTTCCCGTTGTTGTCAAGGCGCATCCGATGTTTTGGGGTGAAAAAATGCCTTACTCTGTGGCTACTTCCGCCCTGAAAAATATAGTATTGAGAGACTAATTAGACGCAATTATTAAGGAAAAGGTGTTCTCCCAGTTCCACCTGGCTCAACCTTTTAGTATTACGGTACCTACACCCTTGAAGAGTATCAAAATGGCGACTTAGTCAATCAACACACAGCTCACCGCGATGACTGACGCCTCCTGTTACTAAGGCGACCTGCAGTTCCATACACTAATGGTGCGTCTCGCATCGAGGCCACCATCCGCGTAGCCAATAGGCGAGCACTTCACAGCAGGTGCCTTTATTGATTATCGATTTGTGTAAGTGAGCCATCACACGTTGGTGAGGCGTCCGAGTGTGAGCCAATTGCCCAGTGGTGGAGACTCCCAGAGGCTTTATCTGGGTCCGAGTGTAGACTGGAAAGAAACCGGATCTGCGACTTGTGGAATTATAGTAGACGATTGGCCTTGAGCTTGAAGTGACTATTTGTGTGCTTCAAGTACAGTCTGCGCCAATCAGAAGGGAGCGAGTAAGACCACAATTTTTCTGATGCTTAGAAAACATCTACAATGAAGGAAAAGTAAAGGAAGTTAAACATGGACGTGTTTTGGGGGTTGTGAACATCCCAGCAGTTGCATAACAGTTTGTTTTTCATCTCACTTTGCCGTATCTTGCTCAATCTACAGGTCCATCTTGAAGTCTGCCATAGTCGCGTGGAAGTACTTGCCCTGACTTGTTCGTCAGGAGTTGGACATCAAACAAAATGGTTTCTCCACTCTGCATGTAACCTTCAAGCTGTGGGAAATGTCATCAAGTGATTACCTCATCTGTCTCATCCAGAAGACCGTTTTGAATGAAAGTGCCGTGGAAGGTAAAAGGGAGGCATCATGCGGTTTTCTTAATTGCTGAATTTGCCAGACATTAATGAGCCTCAAATGGTTTGGTGATGCATTACCTTTTCTCAGACATGCCTCATGTTTGCATTCGTTCATTCATTTATGGCAGGTCCGTACATCTTCGTGATATTCAAGATGTGTCCATTCACCTAACACATTGGTCCAGCTCTCCTTTCTTGTTCATCCATCCCGTATCCATTTTATCCATCCAACCATCCATCTCTCCATCCTGTATCCATCCCTGCTTTGAAATTCATACAAGAGGGGCCTAAAGGTAAGTGCGAGGCAGAAAGCACCACCTTGTTTCCATTCACACGGCCTGACAGCATTCAGCGCCGATTCTGCGTGACAGTCAGTACTGTTAAAAGTGCGTCTGTTCCAGCTTTTGGAAGACCCAGTTAGCCAATGCGATGTCATTTACTGGTACATCTTGTTCCCTCTCCCCCTTACCTATTTCAGTTGCCGCCTAGGCCAGGGAGACTTCCATTTCCACTTTAATGATTTGCGAGGTTACTGAGATGGCAATTAGAGTGTATCCACTTCCTTCTATTAACACAACGTCTAACGAGAGAGCGCGACTGGAGTGTGAAGCCACAACTTTCAAACTAGGCCGGGCCAGGCCAGGCCATTAACTCCAACCTGGGCTGCACAAACTTTTGTCCCGCATCATGTAGGGCGGACACAAAGCAGGACAGGGGCTTATTTAGAGATTAGATTGTGGTTAACGCAGGACTTGTGTCCAGTGTCTGGATCGCTAAGGTACTTTAGTTGTTTGGCTGTAAAAGTAACAGTAAGTGCTACAGCGGATCAACGGAACCGTATGCGGCAAACATTAAATGAACACAAAGGAGCACTTTGCATCCCTTCTTATGGCGAAATTTTACCGCTACCACGACTGCAGAGCCCAAATACCTTGCAAATCAAGCAAGGGCTGAAGCGGAGTCACAAAGGCGTAGTATGTAATCTGGATTACTTCGTGAACCAACCAGAATGCTTTTGCTCATGGGCGTCTGCCTCAATGCTCTACACTTTGTTATGACTGTCTAGGATGGCGTCGCTTATAACTTTTTACGATGAAGGTTGCGCCATCGCCTGCGAAACGCATATTTCTCCTAGTGTCTCCTACCGCCAAATTCATTGATTCACGGATTGTCAAAGAGATGGGAGGTGTAAAGTGGCCGAAAGTGGGAGACAGAGTGTGCCTGTTTCTCAGGCGGTAGCGTTGGCGAACCCTCCAGTAAGGGTTGCCTTGAAAAGGATATAGTGCGATTCAATTCACAAGTTTAACAGGAACGTTTGCATTATATCATGAAGAATGTAGGAGAACAGATACGCAAATACAAAGAATACATAAATACGCAAAAAGGGTTTAACATCTACCATCAGTCACTACACGAGATTGATACGCTTATGTAATACGATGGTGGTTTATCCCTCGGTATTTGTGAGGCACCACTTTTGTGCTTTTGAATTAGCCTTCTTTCATCTTGCTGGGTGGGCTGGCCTTTAGGTCATGGCAATAGCCCAAACACCTCCTCCGTGCAGAATATGCATCCTGCCCAAGTATTGTGCCTTCTTTCGTATTTGGGGAAGTCTCGAGACGCTACATTTATGCAAGTAATAGCGCATATAAGTCAGCCCTTACACTTAAGAATATTCATTAGCAGGTTTCATCACCGTCAATATATTCACCCAAATTTATTCCCAGAAATTAAACAGATGGAATACTAAAGCAAGATTCTATGCACAACCCTAAGTATGCATTTTAATGATGAAAGCTTGCAATTTCAACTAGGACTATCTACATAGACAAATTTGAATTCCTTTACTTCAATTTTTAACAATATGACCCTGTAGGTGTTTTAGTTTGTCAAGTGCCACGATAAAGTTATACAGCTCACTTTTAACTCTTGCTTGGAACAGTACATGGGATTTAGACGTCCCCGCAGTAGATGAAATTAAAATTTGTTGTTACGGTTCTTGCTTAATAGTTCAACTTAGAAAAAAACATCTAGCTGGTACATAACCTGATTGGGGTCTGTATTTATCATCTAACGCCAGTTAATTATTGCCAATTGGAAGGCGGGAAGTAGTGGCGACACTGCTTTTGGGTATTTTTAGGGGAAGTAGGAGGCCGCCAAATGAGACTACAGTGATGCTCTAAATGATAATCGCAGCGATTCCTCCACGCCCGAAGAGTGAGGATCTTTGCATCTCCTTAACTCAAGGTCGTAACCTGTGCTGATTGTTGAGCGTTGGGACTTAGGAGGAGATGGAGAAAGGGAAGGGTGATTATGCTTCCACGAAGTCCTTTTCAACTTCTTCATTCCCTTCCCTTTACTCCATGCTTCCTTTGGGATCGGAAGCATTTTCCGATTTTGAGTCGCTTATAAGATTGAGTAGTTTAGACGTCAAACTTGACTACGAAACCAAGTTATCTGCTAGGTAATGATATCATCCTTCTTGAAACTTCTCAATACGCAGTAGCTACCACAACATCAAAGAGCTGTCGCGCCCAAGCTCCTCTTGAAGAGGTCAAGGAGGTGGATGAAATTAGTTAGGAAACGGAAAGTGTGGGCATAGTGGCCTACCAACAGAAGTTGCATGAATGGAAATGGAATATAGCTGAGATGTTGGCCGAAACTTGGACAGGCAAGAGAATGTGAACATCCACCCCCCTTTATCTCTTCCCACATTCAACGTTACACGTCATCCGCCTCACATGTCTTCCGGTGGGTGATCAGCCAACGGTGCATTTGTGGGTCTTTTACCCGCGTAGCGTAACATAGCACAACATATAACAGCCAAAAGAATTTTGCCCACCCACTCATCTGCGGTGATGTAATACTTGCAGATAGATGAGTGGGCGGCTCGTTGAAAGCAAGTCAGTCACGTGGCTTGTGCATATTGACGTCAGGCCAGCCAGCCAACCAATCCTATCGCTCGACATGAAAATGGCGTTTCGAATCAACCAATGAGGATTGAATTGAAGGGCTTTGTGTTGGTTGACGCTACGCTAACAGCTAATGGCAGTCGTAGTTTCTGCATGCAGACACCGCTTGGGGCTGGGCAATCGAATGATTTGATATGCGGTGTGTGTAGGAAGTAGTAAGTCCCCTACCGTTATTAACTTATGGAGCAGTTGAAATATGCCTCAATCAGTGTTCTTTTATCAGATTAGTCCAGTTTCTACTGCCTACCTAGTGAGATAAATGCGTGTGTACCTTCCCTTATCCTTATAACATGGTTTAATTGTTAATTTGGTTGCGTTTGCGCATCTTGTAATAGTAGGTGAGTCGGCTTCGATACTAGTAACAGGGAAGTGAGGTTTGTGTTGACTACATTTTTTTCCTCTCCACCACCCTGTAAGTAGAAACAAATTGTTCCGTTTTACATGTTCTCTCCCAAGTTATTTAGTGAAGTCTGGTTTCACGCATTATCACTAAGTCAATTGTCGTGATTTTCGCTATCTAGTCGTTAGGCCGCCTGTACTAACTCAGGATGCTCTTTATTAAGTTCTCTCACACGTCGATCGGAAGACAAGGCGTCGGCGCTGAATTCTCGCCTATTGTTTGTCTCGTTGGGGGATGCGTTGAATGAATTTAAGCCGCAAGCCGAATAAACCTAGGCCATTGCAATTGGCTGCGCGGTTTCTTGTGAAGAACTCTAGGAGGCTCTTCTCTAAGGTTGAACTAAGAGAAATGCCAATACTTCAGCATACATGCTTTGAGCAAGATCGAGCCAAGATGTCGGAGACTGTGCTACAGAAACCCTCTAGTCCAGCTTGCGTCACTGTCAGATGAAGGGTGCCAATACGATGACTCCGTTGCATACATGAAAACAGAGTTGAAAAGGTTCCGGTTCGTGCATTCCTTGACACTGCGCCACTTGCGTATGAAGTACCACTGGCCGCCTATCATTATGATTATTGATGCATGTGGTGAATTGGGCCACGTGGTAAGTAGGAATGGGAGAACGCGAGACACACCTGACACTTACTGGTGCGTGTAGTAGCGCAACGAAGGGGGTAGTGGATCTATAGCTACGATGACATAAGCAGCTGATGCTTTTCACCCCTCTTGCAGCCTGCACGTTCCTTACACCCTGCCATGCAAACACTCGTATTGTTTGGAGCCCTGCCTGATATCTCGGCCGAGTCAGACTGATGTGCGGTGCTTCCGCTGCGATAAAGTGTACCCCCGCGATTTAGCGATGCACAATGCGACTCTTGAGAGGCGAGTAACGCAGCATTTTGTGGAGGAGCGACGGAGTCTTGTAACCACCTGCAACGCCTGTCGGCATCCTGCCCCGGTTCTGCGCGCCTGTCAGCACTGTCAGTTGAGCGTCTGTTCCAGCTGCTGGGATTCGCATTACGCCGAGGTGATTCCACTTGCTGCTAGCTCCTGTTTCTCTTTTTTATTTCCCATCTCCGAATTCTCTTCCTCGAACTTGATCTCACTTTTTCTCACAGACCAATTATGTGGGAAACTGACGCGATTAATGATGAATCGCGACGCTTCTTGATACCTATTTTCAACGGATCCGTTGTTTTAATAAGTCACAAATCATGTAGTAGAATGCGTCAACAGTTAAGCGATTTCACTTTATCTTTCAGGTGGTTACCTCCGTGACCAACTCAACGCGTACATTATTAAAAACGAAAAAAGACTTAGAGGAGATACGCAATTCACTGAAGGCTAAGCCCTGTGGCCAAAGGTCTTACTTGAAGAATTGCATTAAACAGGCGACGCTGGAGCTTAAAGACGCCTGTGATAAGTCGTTGGATCTCAATACCACAAATTTAAATACTATTTTTGCTGGGCGTCAGGATGAGTTAGTGGCTCTTAAGGAAGCCACTATCAGAACAGGAGAGCGTATTGCAAGATATGCGTATCGAGAACAGCTTTTTCCTCAGATGGTAAATATAACATTCTACTTACTGCTGCTTGAAACCTTCTTTCAGGCATTAGATGGTCTGTTAGACCTGAGGGAGAAGCTAAATTATGTAAGTACTCTCATGAAGGATATACATGAAAAGGTGGATAGATGTCAAGCTAAAGAAAGGTTACGTGTCGGCCACTCGGTAGGTTCACACCTTACAATAATTTGTTTTCATGCATCTTTCTTCCACCCTTCTCCTTTTCGGGTATGTTGCAAAAATGTTATTTCTCTTGCGTGTTTAGTTAACTAACGCACTGGAGACCTTGTCACTGATCGACGTGACAGATCAGGAAGTCGATGATGATCATAGCAGGTGAAGTCGGTGATGTTCTTTTTCTCCTCTTCAAGGTGTATGGATAGATAATCCAAAAGCGGCTTCACTTTTTCGACCCTTACTTCAGTTGTCCAGACGAGGTTTCAGAAATCGGCAGCGTCATCGACGATGCCTCTACGGGCAAACAGGTCTTTGTGGGCGGCGTCTCCGGGAAGGTAAATTTTATGCAGTTAGGGGAATACTTTTCGCGTTATGGCTCTGTGAAGAACTCCTTCGTTTCACACCGCAAAGGATTTGGCTGTATTACCTTTGCGAGCGAGGAGTCTGTGCGCAAGGCCATCTCCCAACGCTTTCAATCTATCTGCGGCACAAGGGTGGAAGTGAAAGAGTATATTACCAAGAAGAATAAGTATGTCTTTTGTCACATTATTCTTGTTCTAAGTTGAAGAAAAATTGTGAAGTAATCGGTGGTGCAAAGGTTTTATTGGCTTACTACAAGCGTCACCTATATGTGACGCCCCCATTTTCCTATGCAACATCCGTGTCTTACCACTTTGGGACACAAATACAAAGGTGACGGATGTTACCACGACGCATAATTTTGACTGTTTTCAAAGTCATGGTGTCAGGACATGGAGTGCGTCAGTTTAAACTTTAGTCCCGAATGAGGAGTCGGTATCATCAAATGCACTTTTCCGCCTAAAAAAGTAAGAAAAAAGAGGCAACACACGCGTAGAATAAATTTTAGCATTTAGCTAAAACTGGTAGCTTTTCCTGTCTACATGGTAGGCTTTCTTTAAATGAAAAAGGTGACCAGTATGCAAAAGGTTGTGCGTTCCTCCAACCTTTAGTCGCGCTGCCTTGAAGACGGAACCCTCCACAAAGGGGTCACCATCTCTACACCTGTTAGAACAAGAGAAGGTCTTCATCGGTGGCATTTCAGCCGACATCACGGAGGCCTCATTGAAGTCTTCACTGTCGCAGTTGGGTCCGGTTCAGAAGCTTGATATGGTCCCTCAACGCGGCTTTGGCGTAGTGGTGTTTAGTGAACCCCAGACGGCTGAATTGGCTATCTTAAGGCATTGGCACAACGTGGACGGTAAGAGGGTGGAATTGCTACCCTTTGTACCTGATAAGAAGGCTCGTGATGCTCTAAAGTAAGTCGTCTTCAATTCCATCCCTACTCAATTTGAGCCTTAACTGGGGCAGTCACTTTTTACCAGAATGTCATGAATTGGGAGGACATTCGTGTCCGCAGTTTTTCCAGAATAACAATGCGAAAGCCAAGTGGGGACTTTTTACTTTTAATTTGAGGAAAGAAGAAACTGGTAGGGAGAGGAAACTACTTTCGTTGCTCGACGTTTATAAGTATATACCGGGTGTCAATTAATGTCTGGAAGGAGGAAGCCGATAAATTCGATGTGGTCCGATTCGGTCAGATTTAATCTATTTCACCATGATCATGGCCCCTGCGGTCAACTAAAGTGTCTATGGATGACAGGTTCGGCCATGATTACAGAAAGATCGGTATCTTGAGTAATTTCACCAGTGGTTATGCGTTGGTCTCGGGTTCCAAGCTCTGCCCAAATGTTCTCAGGGTGGCAAGACTGTCGAGGCTATAGGCTGGGAGGCACCCCTGCCACCACAGGTAGAGTCGTTACTAACGCGGAGAGGTACCATCGCAAGTTTTGCTTAGAGGCTTGGTGTGCCTTCATCTCTGTAAAAATAGGGCTTGAAGTCTGCTGTTGATGGAGATCAGTAGCCGGTAGTTCGGATCCCGAACCATCGTTGACATGAGACCGCACTCATCACGCAAACCATTGGGTACGATTTAGATTACCGATGTGTGGAGGAAATGAAAATGAGGTGTAGAAATACTCAGAACATCATGAACCTCCGTTCAACTTGACCAATGGTTCATTTTCTGGGCATTCTACTATTCACCCGGTTAACCATTCGGAAACTTGATCCCTCATATTCCCTCCCCAAAGGTATTTGGATGTTGCGTTGAGAACAAGTAACGCTCGTAGATGAAACATATTTTGTTTAAATTTGACCTTTTGCGTCTTGAGTCATCTTGGAAGGTCTTTGACATCCCTACTGTTAAAGACGACGCTTAGCTGTTTACGTTCGAAAAGGGTGGCGAACTAGAGACGTAGGTAGAATGTTGTAGGACCAAAAGAAATACAAGCGTACGGCACTTAGACAGCATAATATGCAAGATGGTAACAGATCATCGGAAGGTGTAGCGTCGTGTTCCACTTTACAATGCCCCCCTGTGACATTTAAACGGATTGCTGATAATTTTTTTCCACACCTTCCAGACGAAGTGCTTCTAAGCCTCAGGTGCAGATGGATGCGGCGGATAAGTCGAGCTCAAAGTCTCCTTCGTCACCTCCCCTTGCTCCTCCATCTCCACATACACCTGCACCACCTCTGGAGGAGCGACGGAGAATTTTTGTTGGCGGTCTTGCATGGGATACGACGGCGGATTCGTTGAAGTCAGCGCTGTCGAAACTGGGTCCAGTACAGCGGGTTGATATTTCCCCCAAAAGAGGTTTCGCTATCGTGCTCTTTGAATGGCCTGAGACGTCTCAAGTAGCCATCACAGTCCATTGGTTCATCGTTGACGGTAAAATGGTGGAATTGCGACCCTTCGTACCCAATCAGAAGTTTGAAAAGTCTGCAGAAGAGCAGAAAACTCTGTAAGCAATCCTCTTATATGATTATGTTTTGTCATCATTGTGTGTGAGTAGAGGGTGGGATAGTTCACCTCTGTTTCGGTTCTGGCGACTTTTCCTTCCACACTGGGATGTTGTGAACCTACGTGAGGGTAGTTCGAGGTGGATCCACCCATTCGACTTATTCCCAGCAGTTAGAAGTATGTGTGCAGTGGATACCACTGTGGACCGGTGAATTGAACCCGCCCTGCGTATGAGGCATGGAGATGGGGAGGAAAGAAATTCTATGAAATGTACCTCGCTTCTAGGAAATTCTTCGTTTTGGGCCCTCTGCACTGCTGTAGCGACTTTGTGTCCTTTGGACGTGTCAACAGCGACGATCTTCGTGTCTGACAGCGTGACTTTGGCCTTGTGCCAGCGAAAACTTCTGAGCGTAGGAGATTGGGACATTCTGTAATGCCCTAGCTATTGACAGTACTTGTGGGATAGACGGAGGGAGGGCAGCGCCTTGATGTTTTCTCTCTCTGTGACCATCCTTACTACCAAGCTATTAGAAAGAGGGAGGGAGGAACCGGGAACAGGAATGGGTCTTTTTTGATCAACCAGACATTTTGAAATCATTCATTTTCATTTCTTTTGCCTTTTTCATCCCCTAGGGGTCAACTTGCTTCGACTAGCAGTGCTGTGGAGACTCCGTAAGTCACTCTTCCACTTGGTGGTTGTTAGGGTGTCACTTGATCTTGCTGACGGTTGGTAGACGAGGAGGTGGAACTGTGCCGCTAGTATCTCGCCTTTTCACTGTTGTAGAGGCTCCGCAGGTGATTGGCCCCTGGAGGACCTCTCTCATCGCACCCTCCACGTGGAGGGCATCGGCAAGTCTATTAGCGAAAGCATATTAGGGATGTACTTTTCCAAATATGGAGATGTCAAGCAGTGTCGTATCGCCAATCAGCGTGGTTGCGTGGTGTTTGGGAGATCACAGGATCTGAAAAATGCCCTTAAAGCCCAATCACACAATCTCAACGGTCAGAGGCTAGTTCTCATTCCTCCATTGAGTGAAATGCCTAAAACCAGGTAAGTTTGCGCGTTGTCAAACTTGACCGTTGGTTGGGGATGCGGTCAGTGGTCACACCTCCGCCCTGCTTTGTAGTGACTTCGGCGCCACCCGTACCAGCGCTGTTAGCTCCATGGTCAACGCGCGGAAGTTGATCATCCAAGGCCTAGGTGAGGGTACAACTCACACAGTCCTGCGAGACTACTTCCTCAACTATGGTGCGGTTGACTATGCCAGTGTCACTGGTACAGAGGCCTGGGTGGTATTTAAGAATGCCAAAACTGTTAACTTAGTTTTGGCTACTCAACCCCACTTTATTAGAGGTAGGCAGATTACTCTGCGTAAACCCGATGGAGGAGATGCACCTTTGCTTGGGTAAGTTAAAAAGTTGTTTGTCAAGAGGTGACAAGCTCACTCTTGTCATCCTTCAAAAGTGTGCTTTCTCATCACTTGATGCACATTTCAGTGCCTCCACTCTCTCACTCGGTGGTAAGGACGAAGCACCCGCGCAAACAGGTAATGTGGAGTGGGATGCTTAAAAACTTGCTTGAAAGGGTGGTGGCAATGCATTGATAAACATCGTTAAGTGGCTTTTTTTTTACTCTCAATCATTCTCCTTTTTTGTTCCGAAAACAGCGCCTCAATTGGGGCCCCTATTTAACCCGCACGTGCGCATTTCGTCGCCACGACGGGTGGAGAGTTCAAGCTCTTTGTCCAGCCGGAAGGGCAGGGCCGGAGGTTCAGGGAAGCAGCCTCCTCCTCCACCATCTCGTAAGCGGCTGTAACTACTGTTGACTCTCGGTGTAATCGACCGGGGTCTTTGTGACTGTCAAGTATGTGATGGCGCTCATGGCGGTGACACTATTGCCCCCCTCCCCTAAATACTTATTTAGCATACCGGCGCACACTTTCTGATCCATTGATTAAACACTCGTTGCTAGTAGGAATGACCTTCAGAGGTGAAATTTATGCTACTCGTTATCTTGGGTAGCATGTTGGAGGCATTCACGGTGCAGAGTGTTTGCCTACAGATTGCTAATTTGTGTTTACATTATTAATGGACAGGTGGTGTCGCCGTTATCGCCTATTTTCTGTTTCTCTTTTCGTACCTCCCGTCTGTAATTTTCGTTTGTCCTTCCGTCTCGAAGATTAGTAACTTGTTTTGTGGTGGAGGTGTCACCTCGCTCTAGTTTAAATGAACTGGTCTGCCCTTGCGATGAATAAAGCCAAAGATATTCTTGGATTGGGTGTTTAAATCGACGTGAATGATGAATGTCAGTATGTCAGTTGGTAGGAGATCTTCGGACGTATACGTGGCTTATTCTGACTTGGGCGGGGATCACGCTTTCCCAAATAAAATAAGTCTTGACACATGTTATAGGGTGGGGGGGAGTAGTTGCTGGCAGGTGCTTCTGCGGTCAGAGCCCCTACAGACCCGGTATTTAAGAAAATGAGGGTTGGGGTAGTTGGACAACCTCCCCGGTGTCGCCGAGCGGCTAGGTGTAAAGGGAAGGCGAACAAAATCATTTAGCCGGCGGGGTGGTCGTCAAAGCCCATCGGCTGATTCCGCTGTAGAAGCTCACAGTTGTGTAGACGATCGCCGGATTTTAACATAAGCCGATGCAATTCATGTACGTGTGCAGATGAGGGGACGTTGTTGATCAAGGTAAATTTAGTGAAATCTGATTAACCTATGAAGCTAATTAGTTCTTAAATCCTTTCCTTTCCATGGGTACTTCGCGATGCAACGGTGTGAAAATTGAGATTAAAAGTCAAAAATGAAAAACACATGCCCTTATTTATCAAGCAAATTCTCCAAAATTTCACTCGGCAAAAGTTTTGGCCTACATTTGGTAGTTAGGACATTTTTTTGAGTGCCTGCATGGTCTTAAAACTGAATCCTCCCTCTGTGCATTTCAGGGCTCAATCACTCTTAATTATTCATAAAAGTCATTTTTAATTTAAATCACACTTTTTACAAGGCAATATATACCTAAAAACTGCCTTTTTAAAGATTATAAAGAAATATTTATTGCACTTCAAGGTTCAAAGTAGCAGGAGCGTGCTTCAGTTTCGTGTGTAGACTGGCAGTTCTTTCAGGGACCGGAGCAGGGCCTTTTCGGGGGCTGGAGATATTCCCAGAAAAACTGTGGGAAGCTTCTGCGCCATCACACAAGTAGCATCAAAGGGCCTAGCCATGGCTACCTCCATATGTAACACAGTCTTGTTTATCAAATGTCTATTTCGCGTATCCACTTGGGATGCTCAATATGGGAAGTTGGAGAAATATCACCAAATAAAAACGTGGGATGAGGTACAGCAGAGTGTCTCCCTAACCCCATTCTAAAGTTCACAAATTTTGCGGTGGTCTGAAATTTTGCATTGTTTTAGAAGAGTAGGATTGTCTTCCGACTTACTCCCTAGTCCCGGCCGTCGTGACTCTTTCTTGCGGTCCATGTACGGATCTCAAGCTTCAGCAATAAGACAGTTCCGTCCGCGGTCTATTACAAGTATGTTGCCATGTCCTGCTAGTGAGGAGGTGCGGTGGGTAGTCAGTGGATCGTTTTCCGATACCCGGTAATTTGTTCGTTTGTTTCAGGGCAAAATATGGAAGCCAGTCAATTAGCCAGCAAATAATGCGCTCCCAACTGTGTTGTTTTGGCCTTCGTAGCTACTTACAAGCTATGTCATGACATTCAATTATCCGGTAGCCTCCGCGACTTTCTCTTGCCAGTTAATGGGAATGGTTATCCCCGTTTCGTCCTCATTCATATTACACTCGACTGTAGGTTGCTATTCATCCGATAATAAGCAACAGCGTGTGGTTTTTCAGAAATTTGCAAGAGCACTGGCTTTTCTTCAACCGGACGCTATACCGCCTTACCTCAATAAGTTCAGGCAGAATTCTAGGCCAGCAATAGACTATGAATGATGAGGAAGGAAAGACTAGGGATAAGATGCGTGAGATGAATGGGGCTTAAGGGCGTTGGCGGAGAGTGAAGAGGTGGAGAGGAAGCGGAACCGGGGAAGAAATGAAGTTGAGCTTGGAAGAGGTGGGGAGAGAACCGTGAGAGAGCCAAAGGAGTTAGGTGTTTTGGCATCACTAGTATACAAAAAAAGGAGGAAGGTAAACTAAATAAGTTGCAATGTGGGCAGCACATCTTCCCCACCGCCAGGTGCGTGGTGGGCGCAACTCAAGACGCAGTGCTTAAGAGCGCGTAGAGTAGTGGGAGGCCAAGGCGACACCGACTGAAGAGGCGTCGGAGCAAGACATGGGATAGAAGGAGAAGACAAGGGGGTTCCTGCTCTCCTGTTTCATGGACACCAAAAGACATAGCTATTACGTGTGTATATTGATCCCTGGTATCTGCAAGAGGCAAGGAGAGGTCTTAAATCATGTTGCCTGGGGTTATGTTAAGTTCATTTTCCGTGACAATGGAGCCAGTGATTTATTTAATTTGAGGTAACAATGATAGAGCTGATAATCCTGCCTAGTCTACACTATCCTAGATGCCTAATCTAGTTTGATCTGGTCAAGTTAAGTCCGGAGTAGTCATGCCTACCACAATTTAGCCTGCTGCAAATCTGCTAAAGTGGAATAGACAACTAATAAGAGTTGTTGTGCTTCTCTACGTCTGCTGCTGCTGCTGCTCTATTCGTGTCACTGGATGAGACAGGAAGGACTTGACTTAGGCGGCCGCAATATGAACTTCTTCCTATCGGCAAGCTTGAAGAGACCACTCACAGTTCTCCCTCGGCAGGTTTAATTGACTGGTCTATCTGCTGAGACTATGCTGAAATGGCACATGGGCATGAGGGGAGAGAGGAAGAAGGACCAGGGGGGAGGGAAGGAGGGATAGTATGGCTTGCTCCTAGTTTCTACGAGTTTTATCTGTTCTCCTAGTTTTGGACTTCGGAAGTCTTTGCAATAGCGGAGTGGACCGTTGAGGGTGACGAGAAGATAAGGAGGGGGCGGTGGAAGTGGAGGAATAGAAGGAGACCGAAGGCGAGGAGGAAACGCAGTGCAAGGAAGGTGTCGGTGATGAACTTCGTGGTAGAAAAACAGCAGCACGGTGAAGTACAGTGAGGAGTACAAGGCATTAGAGTACTTTTGTGAGCGTGTCTGACGGCTAGTCCTGTGCTTGATTTCGCTGTGGTTACGACGTATGTGTTTCCACTGGCTGGCACGTGTCGTGTAATATTTGTTTGAAAGCAGAGAAAATCAATTTGCACAATGTCACTGTCAAGCGAAGGACACCCGGAATAACAAGGGCGCTGCCTTTAACTCATCATTTGGACAGGCTGTTATCGGACTGCCTTTTTTTGCCTACTCGCTGGAGCCTTTTTGCCTCCATGTAGATGTGATGACTACTGAGCTTTTGCGTGTGTTGTAAACTGTCAGCCCCTCTATATCCGATTGCATCTTTCATTTTGTATCACTGTGGAACAGAACGCGACTGCTTCCGCAGAATGTTGATTTTAGGCTTGCAGGACCTAATTGCAAATTTAACGATGACGAAAAATTGTCGCTCGGGGGCAAAAATTAGGATGATTATGCAAATTTTAGGATCTTTAGTAAAAAAGCATTTATTCCATGAATTAATATACTTCAAAAGGAATATGGTAACACTTACTTTTAAAAATGATACAAATTTGAAGGAGGTGATTAGGGAGGCGTTAAAATAGAGTTAAAAATCGTGAGGTAGCGTCTCAGTAAGTGAATCTAGTCTGTGCTGGCACATTTTAACATCGCTGTTAGGTAAGTGAAGGTGATGCGTAGTCTGTTATTCCCACCGACATGTCCAAACACCATGCCTCGATGCCAACAACATAATGCGGAAAGTGATGTGCCACTGTGTGCTTGAGAGTTGAGGTAAACATCTGATCAACTACTATATAAAGTGAAGAGTCGACAAATTTCTTAATAATATTTCGAAACATATGCAAAGTGTCGACTCTGCTGACAAGTGTTCCATGTGGCTGCACAAGAGAATGAGCTCCGGAAAACTAAACTTCCTCAGTTGTATAGAAAGTTCAATAAAGTCATTTAGGAATTGAGCATTTCTACGCCTTAGGAAAAGTCTTCTAATGCCTTTCTGACTACAAATGTCTGATCGGTTTATTTTTTAACTTTAGTGTCACTTTCTATATTTCATCAACAATATCTGTCATAAGATGCAATGATTGAATCCCTAATTTAAATAATCTTTAAAGCAGAAAAATAATGCAGGGATGATGAATGAAAAAAGGAACAGAGATTACAGATAAAATGAAGCGCAAATTAAAGCCCTTAGTGAAAATTATACTTTCTGGGAGGTCGTAATTTGATTGGGTTGCGAATTCGCGTGGTGGTTGGTAGAGGGGAAGCGCGATGTTTGTTTCGCCTCAAATTGCTGTGCTAGCATTATCGTGCATGATGTCAGTAATGTCGTGAACTCAACCCCTAGAGATCACTTCAATATCTTAAACATGCTACAGATTGCTTTGTTTGCAGTTGTATTTGTTTTATTTTTGCTGGCCATAATTCCAAGGTACTGTGGTGTTTCAAAGTATATTCTTTTGTTTGTGTATAGGATACTGTTTTATGCTGTTTCTTGGCGGTTAAGACAGGTATTGCCTTGTGCAATAAACTACTCCAAGTTAAGTTTTCGTGGTGCATACCTTGTTAGGATATCTTTTCTCACCGGAGACTCAATTGTAGGTTTATTCCCCCTGTTCCCCTCTAAATGAAAATTGTAGGAGGTAGACAGGGTCGGTCTTACGAGTTGGCTCTTGGATTCAAGCGCAAGGTTCGCAGTACATTAAAATGGGCCTAATAAATTCGTTTAGTTCTCTGCTGTGCATATTCGTTTCCTGCATTCACTTCTACACCTCACCTGATGGTCTAGTAAAGATTTGGTACTTGACAAAGTGTGCTGAAAGGCCTCCTACAGATAAGCCAAGAAAGAGTTTCTTGTTCGATGTTACACTGGTAAAGCGATGATACAAGCGGATATGTGTTTAGTTAAAGTGGTGTTCTTTGGTGGTAAAATCATGTTGGATCCATCTATCCTACACTCGGACGAAGTCTATCAATCCACCACAAATTTGCACACTTAAAAGTCACAAGGCGGTGACGTCTCTTATGCTGGAGGATGTCATCATATGCAGCCACCGACAGAAGTAAGCAGGTACCACATATAACACCAGGCTGCCAGACACGAAATGTCAATTAGAGCTGAAAATGTTGTGTTGAAGCCGTTGATCCGGGCCATCTGCATGTCCGGAGATGAATTTACTTGCCAACACTGCGGTGAAACTCATAGCGAGGCAGATGACGATAGCTCCTTATCGTCAAATACACGTTGTCTCTTCTGTCGCCGCTTCCACATGTGTGGTACCTTTGTGGCGCTTTTGAGCACCGCTGTTGAGTTGAAGGTGAGTATGCAGGATGGAAGCGTGAGTGTAAAGGTGTTTGGCACGTTTTTGATGTCTCAAGAATGTAAGTTTTCTGCAGTATGTAATTTCTTTAGCCAACCTGTGGCAGTTCGAGAAGATAATCGGTGCCGAAGTAGATCTGCCTCTTGAAGTGATGGCAGAGAAGCCTTCACAAAGCACGAGGTGGTCTGTTACCTGTTTGAGTGTTGAGTTTCTTCCTCCTCGTTTGTCGAAGTCGAAATTGGCAGTGAACTTGAATCTACTGAGACAACCGATAGAGAGGTTGTGCTTCTATTTTGCTTGATAGCTCTTTCCCTAGGAGTCTTACATTAACATCAGATATGATTCGTTTTATGAGTGGTGCGGAGAACCTAATATTTAGTGTTGGAAATCTGAGACTGCTCAGTGGACGTATTGATGGCACTAATGAGGCTTCACGAGAACTGATGATTGAGCGTATGGACGTGTGTGCCAGCCTGGCGGAGGATAAAGTGGATGCCTCGCTGACTGTGTGTGGAGTTTTCGGTGGTTTCGCACAAGATGCGGACGAGTCAGCGTTCTTCCAGAGTCTGTACTCCGGTCTGTGTTCGATCGAGAAGTCGCATAACTGGCTTGCGCCAAGTCACAAGACGAGTTATACTTCGAGCTACATCAAAAAAATGGAGGAGAAATGCATTCACTTAAGCGTCTATGTGGAACCATCTAGAAAGCAGGAGGATTGTGTAAGTGTCTAAATTTGGGTGTAAATTCGTTGTTCTTGAGGCTGCTCGTGTGGCATGGCTGGCGGCTGCGAATGTAGTTCCAGCTCTGGTTGAATCCATTGGGTCGACGAAATTGGACGTGACTTTGCCTTCAGCTGCGACGGAGTCTTTCAGCTTTGTGTTGGAAACCAATGGTTTCCATTTGGACGCAATTGAACCCAAATGGGGTTCAACCAGAAACAGCGATGTCACATGGAAACCTTGGAAGGCGAAGGAAGACTCATTTACCCCTTCACCAATTAGTGATGTCTTGGTGGAGGCAGAGTCGAAGTGCAGGCTTGTGGAGGTGGCTCAGTTCTCAACCTGGGTTAGTTGTAGTGGCGATTTTGAGTGCAAATGCGGGGAATGTTGAGGTAAAACGGTTGTTTGCAGGAGAGGATGTGTTGATGAGGTGTGCTGCGCATTGCAGCGGTAGTCATGATAGTATGTTTTGCTATGATGTGAGTGCAAAGTTTGACTTTTTGATTTACCAAGAACGACAATTGTGCTATTAATGTTTCTTCTTCAGTTTTTTGTTCTTTGTTTCTGTAATCACACTAGTGTCACGCTAGCGTAGTGGGATTTCGTATATACGAGGTTGAGGTTGAAATGCCTTCGGTGATGCTGGCGAACATGCACCGACACTTGGCAAGAGTAGTCGCCGGGGTTGGTGGTGACGCTTGCGGAGGCGAACGAGGGAGGTGGAGTGGATGGTTTCGTCGACGCTGGTTTAGCACTGTTGCCACCACATCAATGAATCAACTTACATTGGATGGGCACTTTGAGGCGTTTCGGTTGGCGTTTTTGGCCTCTTGTGGTGGTGAGCGACTTTCTGTATCTCCTGTGTTTTGTTGTCATTATTGTGGGAGAGTGATTTACCTCGTCACTTACAGGTGGTATTGTGAATATATTTGCATACGAACGTATTATTGACTCTTAAGTGGCTGAAATGAATGCATGCTTTGTTCATTGTACCAGTTTGTGTAGGAGACATTCGAATTTTCTCAGTGGAAGCTTTGTCGTAGAACATGACCGCAGGAAAACGGACCTCAGAGTCAGCAGGATGTGTAATCAACAAGGGCAATAGAATTAAAGTCACTACTCGATGCTTTTCCGTGGGCAGAAGTTGGGGATGTGTAGACCAAGACAGAGGCTCTTTAGTCATTGTTACTTTCTGCTTCCGGTCTATGATTGCTGTCATCGATACAATCCACTCACCATGGTTATTTCAATTGCCTTATTGAACCTTGCTATGGGCTGACTTTATTACTGACCATGTCCTCCGTTAGAATGATGATGATGATGATGATGATGATGATGATGATGATGATGATGATGATGATGATGATGATGATGATGATGATGATGATGATGATGATGATGATGATGATGGACAATTCATCTACTTCTTCCCCTACTGCCCTTGGAGAACGGAAGTGTGAGAACAAATTGTTACATTATGTCGGCGTTTCGAAAAAAAAATTTACTACAAGGTCTGTACCTGGATTTCATACCCCTATCGACGCCTCTAGATCCGAATGCAAACCAGCTGGCATGGAGTATTTCAAAGTGGATTCACTGAAAGTTGGTCCAGCTCTACCATACTCAGTCATCCCATATAATGCAAATTACACGTGATTAAAATGAATTGGCAAAGGATAGGCCTTTTAAAGGAAACGGTCACAAAAAAGACAGCTGCGCACTTAACTAGGCCTAAAGGAAGTAATTACTACCGTGGAAGATTTCCATCTACGGGTACCGCGAATGAAGGTTGAAAATGAACATAGCACATGCTCTTTTTGAATGCCAGAACTCCTTATTTGCGTTGCATTTGTCGATCTGGCTGTTCCCCATTGGTCTACGTGGAGTGCTTTCTCTCCATTGTTACCGAGATATCCTCGCTGGCGGGGAGATGAGGTGACGGAGTGGGATGAGGACTGGTGACATTGAAGGTTAGGAGATATTTGCTGAAGGAAGTGTCTCGGGTTGAGATTGAGGTCTGATATGTTTGATGATATCCTTTGCAAATGAACGCCGTAAATCTGCTGAGTGGTTTGCGGTGAAGTCTAAGCGTCTTGGATACATCTTGCGTTGACAGACTTTGTTATTGCCTTCACATTCAGTTATATGGTTCCACCTAGCTCGTATTGAGTGCGAAGTGCCAAGGGCGCATTGTTCGGCCTCCGCCCTGCCACGCTGTTCGCCCTCACGCACTCCACTGTCATCAGCTGCTACTACTGCCTCTCTGATGCAGCAACAGCAGCGGTCATCGATGCCATCGCCGCTTTTTCTCGAATTTGCCGTGTCAAGCAGTGACTTCCGTCTTCGCTCGCCTGACACTTCGACATCGTCAATGCCACCCACCAGCTTGGTCGCGCTACCTGCCTTCCAGGTGTGCTGCAGCCTCTCCCAACGTGTAAGTGTGCTGTTCAGTGGACTGCTAGAGTATTGAGAAACTGGTGTCTATGTCTCTGCCGATCCAGTAGGTAGCCGGTCCGTAACCGTACTGAACCTATTTAAAAATCGGTTAGTTGATCAATCAACCAACCACCGACTCCAATCTTGTCAGATGCATTCCTTTCTTCGCTCATCCGTTCGTCGATGATTACATCTACTCATCTACCCATCTCTTGATCCATCCATTTACCTAACCATCCATTCCTGTTTCAAATATTCAACCGTCTTGTAATTCTAACCTCAGTGAACATTGGGATGGAGACGCGTTGATCGCTTGTGAAGTATGGACTGGCGATGTGTGTACCCTATCTGCGGCACTTGAATGACTTTGTGTGTAGATGCTGTAGCCGTCCGCATAGATTGCAGGCTTGCTAAGTTTGGCCGAATTATCCCCCTAGGTTTATTTCATTGTCGGCCAAAACAGAAATATGACTTGATGCGCTAGACATGGTTTTGCCGAAGGAAAGAAGGTATGTGGACGCATTGAAGAGAATACGAATCACGGATGTCACTTGTGATGGGTGGGATCTCACGGACTGGAGATGCTATGCTACTGCTCCAATAGTGGAGGTTTGTGGTATTAGACGTTAGTAATGCGCACTGAAGTTGATGGTATTAGCCAATGTAACCGTCTAAATGCGATGCTCAAGAAGGCGTAGTTAGAAAGGAGCGGAGTTGGTACGAAACACTTCTATTAGATAGCTGAGAGGGGGGATATCAGCCCATGAAGTAGTTGTCGTACGATGTGGAACCTTGTGGATAGATGACGGTTGAGTTTTCCTGTACTTTCTTTCCTCCGTTTATGCTATATGTCTGCTGATCCATTTCTTCACTTTCGGTGCCTTCCCATCCGTTAGATTTGTGGATTCTATTTGCTACCCATTACTTGTAGTAGTAGTAGTAGTGAGATGAAATGATTGAGCTACCACCAATGTGAAACTCAACCCATCGAATGTGGGGGTGCGTGAGGATAACCATCCTTAAAATATCTGCCGTCTAATGATAGTATATGTTCAGTTGCGACTCCCATAAGTGTCGAAAGTCGAATTCGCCTTCAAGTTCATCTGTCGGTTCTTTCGTTGCATCGCCCAACTTGACGGATCCCTTTGTTCCGTGTCTGCAGAGATAATTTGGAATCCTGGCGACATAGGAGACGAATCACCCTCAATTGGTGTGAGAGTTCTTGCCGTTTCGATTCGCCCGTTGTTAACTTCACCGATCTTCGAGTTTTTCTTCCCTGATGTTGTCTTTTAAACTGCATGCCTTTTCGGTATCTAGGGTTTCTTTCGTTACTACTACAAGTTACCCACTTCAGTCTGAAGAAAGGAAGAGAAAGAGGTCAAATGATGGGAGATGAGGTAAATGCACATGCACACACGCAGCGAAGGTGGAATAGGAAGGAAGGGGTTCACTTTTACTTATTTATGTGCGACACTATTTAAACACAAACAGTCGCGGATGCGCAGAGTGGAAATAGTGAAGGTGGACTAGGGAGGTAAGTGCACATTCTTACCCGTTATTTTGGGGCATCAGGTAGACGGACTGCCTGAAAGGAGAAAAGAAGGAGGTGGACAATGTGGTAGGCAGGTAAGTGCTCCTCTGGACTACGAATTACTGCGTGGGAACTAGGAGTAAAGTGTTCACATTCCCTCTTGAGGTGGTAAATGGAGGAGAAGAAGGCAAAGGTAGATTTGAGGTGGAATGCTATGGTACAAGCGGAAGTGGCAGAAAGGAAATAAATGTTAAATGAAGGTCATGGTACAGGATAAAATAAGGAATGGTAATGCAAGCTAAGTTAAGCTTCATCAAGATGCAGTCGATAGTGTTGTGTGGTCCAGTCTATTCTACGTCTAGTCTGGCTTAGGGCGTGAAACAGAGAACAATCCCGTGACTGTGCTTGACCCTTGATAGGGTCATGTAAAAGTGCAACCGAACAATGAACTGTGGACGCTGAGGAAGGAGGAAGGATTGGAGATAAGAGGGGAGATGAATGAAACTCGCTGAAAGGGCGTTGACGGAGAACGTGGTGGTAGGAGGAGACGGAAGAAATGTGAAACTGTGTTCGGTTGACGTGAAGGTGATGAAAACGTGGAAAAGCCAGAAGGACGCATTCTGGCGTCACTAGTATGTAAAAGAACGAAGGTAAATGCAGTGACATGCAATGAAATGCGTGGCGTACATTTTTCTTGCCGTCTGGTATGTGGGTGGGATGAATGGATCATGCCTGGTGGGGCATAATGCAAGGTGCAGTACTTGAGAGTGCAATAGACGGTGGTGGGAGAAGGAGGAGACGCCCACTGAATAGGCGTTGGAGTGGGGCTTGCGAAAGGCGAAGAGAGGAGGGCTCATGCTCCCCACTTTTGACGACGTTGAGTGGTTTAAACCCTACGTGTGCAGATTGGTCTCTAATTTCCATGAGAGAGAAGGAAAAGGTCTCATTTTACGTGACCTGGCATTCTGTCAAGTCCATTTGGCGTGACAAATGAGGCAGTGGTAGGATTGACTTGAATGGTAGAGTATGTAATCAGCTATGAGGCACGCATGGTAGAACACGTGATCCTCCCTCCTCTCATTTTCTAGGCTAACATTACTTTAGGTGCCTGGTATGCAGTAGTAAGAGGTAAGGAAATGTGGAAATTTAATATGCTGTCATGGCAATTTGACAGGGGTATTGTTTTTTTTAGCTGTGTCACAAAGTGAGGTGAAGGAGCTGTCGGCAGGTGAATTGGTCTCATCGAAAGGCTGCGACGATTGTTACAAATGCAATCTCATTTTCACCTCTATCTTCGCTTCCCTTTCCAGTCGATGGATGTTAGTCTGTGCGAGTCTGTCGAACTACGGGTCGATCCGGGTGCTCACCTCTGCGTGGTAGAGCTCCTTCTCCTTACTCGTCGTTTTCTTCGGATTCGTCGTCCTGCTGAGACGGTCGACACTGTGATATCCTCAACGGCGCCCATGTCCACACCATGGAATGTGGGAGTTCGTAACACAGCTGCAACCCTGCTAACCTACTCCTCCGGATGTCATTCGGCCGCCATGGTGTTCAGTGGCATGGACGTTTACGTTAGCAGCACCTCCAGTCATTTGAGTCTGCGTGTCAAATCATCAAAACTTGCTCTTCTGTGCGATGGCAGGGAGATCGCGGTGCTTCAGGTATTTGCAGTTTCATCTCTGCAGATCTGTGAACGCTGAAATGACCCGTTTAAAAGAGGCTTTTTTCACAGTTTACCCACACGCGATGAAGGTTGCTGGAGATCATTTAGTGGTCTGGAGGACGTTTTAATTGTAGCTGTATAACTGCTCCAGTTAGCAAAACGCCCTACTTAAGTGGCTAACAAGGGCCGTTTCTCATTAGAATTCCCTGTTATGGTCGAAAATGCTCTGGTCATCTTGCAGCATCTGCCATCATCTCCGTAGATCGTTTATTGTCGCATACAAAGTCGTTACTAAACGCTTTTCTTGTTTGTAATGCCAATCGCGGGGAAGTTTCCTCCCAGAGGTAGGCGGTGGTGGTTACACAGACGCCTCCTCGGTAGATCCATGGATTTGGAGATGTCAGCTATGCGATAGAACTGGTAGAAGCAAAATGGGTTATTTTGGTTTTTCTTTGACGACGCCATTGAATTTCCTCGTGAATTGTTTCTTGCTGAAGCCATGGATTTTAAAACGCTGGTTGCGTACAGTCATTTCTTAGTTTCAACGATAGCCGTTGACGGCTTATTGTGGTCCTAATCTAGTTATGGAACACTTTGATGAAGTGTTTGGTGCCACCTTCATAGATCATTATGTGTTGGATAAACGAATGTTGGATTATTAATTATGTGAGTCCCATTTGTTCTTCCTTCGTCAATTCATTTGTGTTTTATTGCATTCCTGGTCGTAGGAGCATCACTCGATTTTTTCTTAATAGGATCCATGGATGTAGGTGTGCTGTTCGTGTGCGCTTCTTCTAGGGCTGAAGTGTCAGCTGTTAAGTTTCTTTTTCCTCCATAGTTTTGGTCCATTCAGTGAATGTTTTCAGGGAACATTCGCTATCATCTTGTTGACTTAAAAGACGCTTAGATGGTGGTTGCGTGTTTGGGCTCAGCTCGCATCTGTAATGGCGACCGTGGAAGAGCTTCAATCGTCCAGTTTCGCTTCACTTTTGCGGTAACTGCGAATTTTATCGTCATCATTTGGCATGGCATAGAGCGTATTTTAGGCAATACCTACATATTCGAATCACGCCAAAGCATGACATTGCTTTGCTGTAGCAAAAATTTAAATTTCCTGACGACAGATGATAAAACTCTTGCGAAAAACTCCTGTGCAACTTTTTGAAGGTGGTTTTGTGACTAAAGTAAGCGTCGTCTGTTACTGTAAGGTGATGTAGGGAAATTCGGCTGAATGAGTGATAGGCAGAGGGAGAAATGTGATTTACTGCATGTGGTCACTCTCATGTCCTCCTCCATGATTTTGTCCGAGTACGTTGATTGGTTGCTTTAGCTACCCATCTGCCGCAGGCGAGTATTGAGTAGACCTTCTCGGAAAACCTCACAAAGTAGGGATGTCAGATCGATGTCGCTGATTTATTTCCACTCCCTCCTATTTCGTCGCTCTATTCAACGATTACTGACGCCGTTCAGATAGCCACCACATGTTTCAGTGCATCCAAGTGCTGAATAAGCTCATTTTTATGTTTTGACAACAACGAAAGGCAGCCTTTGAGACTATTGAATTGTCTGCATTCTCGCTTATTCCTTTATCCTGTCTATCTCTTTCAAACGTTAGATTCGTAATCTTACTAAGATTTGCTCCTATGAATTTACTGTCTACTTGTGTTGGATTTGTCCCATCTCACTGCCGCCTTGGCCGCACATTAGGTCCACCTACCTCCAACATAGCACTGAACAGGCTCATTTGTGGTCAGGATGGACATGAAAATCGCTTGTTAGAATGACACTTCCTCCTCAATCCGCTTTTGTCAAATAATTCTGTGTTTTTGCGCCTGTTTTGCGATCATGTCACTGGCTGGGCTGCGCCTTGCTTTGTCGAAGCCTTTGCCTTGTCTGGAGTGCCCAAGACATCCTTGTTTGCATATTCATGACTTCTAAAATAAAATTGTCAATGCTCCGACTGCATGAACTTGGGCAGTGCGTAATTAGTGGTCCCTACCCTGTCTTCAACGGGATAGCAAAGACGGATGTTTGATTGTCGTTGACCTGTGGTGGTTGAGGTGGACCATATTAATATAACAAATTAATTGAGTCATTTCTGAAGACGTTAGAGGGAGATGCCAGTATTCGAGAATCTGGGCTTCCAAAGAGACTAGAAAGATGTAGGTAATGTTGAAGGTCCATGGGACCAGGGCGGTATTCTGACCGGAGGTAATTGGGGAGCCTGCGTGGCTCCGAACACGGTTGAAATCTGCTTCGCTTTGCCGCATTGTTTTCCTTTGTGCTAAGAGTTGACACAGATCAAACCGAAGCTACATTACCCATTCGGGATGTAAATGAAAAAAGCGGTGGATCCTTCTGTGCTTCCTTTTTTCCCCTCCAATAGAATTTCGTACTTCGAAGGCTGCCACTCTCCGGTGCGCATCGAAAGGTCGCTTTTCAACTCACCACACCTGAAAACACCTGCATGTAAGTGCTTTTTGTGATATTTTTTTCTCAAAAAGGACAAATGCTTGATAGTCAGTGCTTTCTGTTGACATGGGATCTCGTTGGCCTTCTTCAACTCCGACACTGTCAGCAGGAAGCTTGAAATCCATTGACCGCACCGTATCAATCTGACTATTCATGCCAAACGGGGACCTTCTGGTCTATGTATTGGAAAGTGAATTTGCTTTCCAAATTTGCACATTTTTTAGAATTTAGTTAGTATTTGCGACTCTTCGTAGTGGAAAGATTCATGGGTGCACCTAAGCCATTCTAGGGCGCTCAAGGTGCGTTAGCTTTTTCGAATTGCAAATGTTTCCGCATGGTTGTGTTGTGCTGTGTTGTGTTTACCGATGTAACAGAACAATCCGTCTTATGGCATTTCACAAGGGCAGACTATGTCGGTCAGGCATCCCAGTAGTAATGGAATGTTTACAGGCTTGACATCTGGGGCTGTGACCTGGTGCTGTCGATTTTTTATGCTTTTCTTTATAAGGAACGTTGTTTGTCACCACACACGACTACTGTTACCTGTCATCCTGATTGGTGGCACAGACTGAAATGAACCTACTTATGACATGCGTGTTAACTGTCTGTATGCAATGGAACAGTTGTTGCGATTGTGTGCACATTGCCAAGGCTAGCATGTCCTGTTATGTATGTGAAATCAAGAGAATCTCTCTTCTATCTCTCTGAGTGGGGATTGGGGATTGCTCCCGAGAAGTTGAAACAACCCAATCGCTTGGACGTGCCACCGGGTGTCAATTGCTTGTTATAAATGTTGTCAGTGGAAGTCATAATAACCCCAGTCAACGGCTTGAAGAATTAAGCCTTATCTCTGTAGTTTGTCAGGTTAAACCCGACCCAGGATGGGTGGTGATTCCCCATTTCTACAATGTTCTTACAGCACCACTAATACTGACCCGAAGGGGTTATGCACAAGGCATTGTCTTATGACGTGCCAACTAGTGCATTTTGACATAGCAGAGCATCTACCTTGATGGCAATAGAACAGCGAACTCGGTGGGAACGTTTTGCCTGGGTAGTAAATGCTCTTAACTTTGTGTCATGGGAGGATTAAGTTGCGCTGATTTTAATGGAATCTTCCATTCCAACGATAGTCGACTTCTTAGAGATGTCCATAACTCTGGAAGAAAGTGCTATTGCTCGCTCTTTCTCGAGTGGGCTGAGATTACGTGTAGAAAGACTTTAAATACGCTATTACTCACCTTAAGGTCAAGGTCAAGAGGTGACTATACTTACACACGGCTGAAACGACGCAGTGACTCAGACTCAGTCTTGAGCACTTTCCGCATGCACGCATTTCTTACCTCCACAGCTCCGTGCTTGCTCACATACATGGGTCAAGACGGACCTCTGTTCTGGTGTCTTGATTTAGTGACTACCCAGTCGGTCGGGGCCTTGGATAGGCTCCAGGCCACACAAATGGGGAAACTGCAGCCCCTAACAAACATGTGGCGGATGAGATCAAAGCTGTTGTCGACGCAGTTGATGGGCCTGTTTGGTTCACAATGCTGGTAAAGAAGGCACCGTGTACTCAAATCGCCTTGAAGCACCTCTCTTGTAGCAAATATTACTTGCTACGATGTGGTTCGGTGTCGGATTGCCTTAACTCCATTCTACGCGTGAGGATTAAATCAGTTTGAGATCCTACCCTCCACAGTTCATGACTGCCAATCGTTGAGGAGTCATTTCGTGTGTGAAGTAATCTTATCGCGATTATGTTACCGAACCCGTTTGAAGCCACACGATGTCAAATTCGGTGATTTGTGTGAAAAAAATTTTTTTTTCCTACAACGATCGGTTTATTAAGAGTAATCTCAAATTTGAATTGTATTTTTTTCAGTTATCTTTTGCAGCTTTATCATCAAGGCGATGAAGTGGATTTGGGAATAAAGATCTCATTGTCTGAGTTGTTAGACAGTTCAAATTTTTTGACGGACTTACTAGGGTCCTACTCAAGTTTTCGGTCAGTGATCTCACTCCCCGTTCCATGTGAGTCAGACGAGACCGAGGCGGTGGGTAATGATCGACGAGCTGAATTTCGGCTCCAGTGGGAGCAACAGATGGTAGGTGATCGCAAGGAGTTTGTGGGGTCGCCGTTATTACCCTTCCTGTAATGGTTTGCCAAGTGCATTTGTTTCTATGCCTTCATTATACGGCACGAATATGCTTCAGCCTATCAATTCCCCATCCCCTCTACCATTCCTCCTGTCAATGTTAAACTCACCCTCATGGCATAACCCATCTGCTAAACTGATCTGATGAATGCGATTCCGGTTGATCTGCCCCCCCAACCGAGCTTAGTCAGTAGAGCTTGTTGCAGAGCGGGCGATGGTAGAGACGGGGAGAGTAAGCCTCTCCTTCAGCCATTGGTTAACATAAGTGATGCAATAGGCGATTTAAGATAAATCAACTGTAAAGGTCGTTGTGAAGGTGACTGAGCAAATGGCGCTCACGCATGATGTGAAAGAGGCTTAAAGGGCTGTCAATTTATTGCTCTCATGCGTTATGCGTGCGCGTTGAGTCGTTTGCCTGTTGACTGACTGGGTGACTTACTAGCGTGGGATGAGAAATGGCTTGTGTGTTGCAACATCTGTTGAAGGAACCATTGAACTGGCATGTCAGTGGTTAGCTAACCAAAGCGATCCATTCACGGCCCCACCCACGCTCCATAGTTAGGCATTACTGCACCTCCAGATGGCTGCGCTTTCTTACCGTGCGGTCTGATTCTTCTCCTTTCAAAGTAGACAGGACTGATCGTTCAGTCGAAGGGAGGTTCTTTCCCTACTGTCCCAAACAAACGAAAGACATCGTGTGCCTCCTATCACCTGAAAACCTACTTTTAATTGAATTTTTACGTGAGTTGGGGCGGGAGAGAGGTGGCACTGCCTCACTCTATTCTTATCCTCACCCTCCATAGTGCCCCGGTTAATACCTTCTCGTGACATCGGACAGTAGAGTACATGGGCAGACGGTTGGACGATAAAAGTGGCGGCAGAAGAGAAGGTGACTAGGGCAAGGCTGCTTGCTGTGAAAGACGAAGTGGACTCGGCGTCAAGATTGTGTCTTATTGTGAGAGGGCGGTGGGTTGTAATGGATTTGCTATTTTGGAAGCAAACAACACGAACTTATCGGTTTACCTTGTCCATCCAAATCAAATTACGCATCGCACATCAATCAGAAAGGCGTGTGTGTACACGTTCGCTGAGTGACTACTGGAGACGTGGTGTGGTTACATTTTCGCCCATGGGGCGTATTTCAGTTTGCTTTGGTATCCTAGTGATTACTAGCACACTCCGTGGAACTGGCCAATCAGGAAACTGGACGAGGGTGGAAGTATCATGACATTATTGTAGAACAACTGGGAAACTCCCAGTGCAACTTCCAAGTGCAAGCGTGTCCTAAACTTGCGGACATCCTCAGCAGATGAATACTGCAGTTGGCTTCCTTAATAAACAATTTGATTGCGATAACTTACTGATTCGATATTCTACTTATTTCACAGCAGTAGTACCTGTGCGCAACAGATTTTACTCGATTTTTGTGCGGGCATCAAACTGCTCGCTACGAGGAACTTCCAAGTGCGAAGCCACCACTACATCCACTATACTGATTAATTTTTTGGCTATTGGAAAACCAAAAATGTATTTACTCCTCGGATGGAGGCCATTCATGATCTCTCTTGTTGTTTTGCGCCCAACTAAACTGTCTGAGGTACGCGATTTTGTCCAACTGGCAGGCAAAAGATGGTGGCGAAGAACGCCTGATTCGTATACGTGACGTCGTCGTGTTCAGACAACAATTGTGACTTAGCACACATGTGCCAAAACGAGACCTCCGTTTTGTTCCAATTCCGTGTGTTTTTCATGTAAATCGTTGTATACTCTCGCACATCAAAGCGGTGAACTCCATTTATGTGCTGTGGTGAGTAATGTCTAGCCACTTTGGCTTAGTGCTCTTCAAATGTGCAAAAGGCGACCGATGGTGACGAGGCCTAATTCACTACTACCCGTGTATCAAAAGTCGATTGTTGTTGTGTTGGTTAGCCGCTTGGATGCAGAAGGTTGCTGCGCTTTAGAATGGGGATTGTTGAATCAGTCCAGTACTTTGGGGTGTCATTGCCATCTCTTCACCTGGAATTTCATGAAGCCTGGAAAAAGCAATGTGTTTTCTGTGAAAAGTTTTGACTATTTTGAAACTTCGAACAGCGGTTGGACTAATTTCAGAAAGATTTAATCAGAAGTCTCACCAGGAGGTGTTCTGACTTCTGGTCGATTGAGGAAAGCACAGACGAATTCATTTTCTGTTAGCGGGAGTAAGGGCGTTATTTCATCGTGCCATCCCGTTGGACTTGTTTCTGGAAATTGGTAAAGAAGCAGCAGGATTGTACCTACCTCCTCATCCATGCCAATGTTGGAGCAGGGTTTCGCTGAATCAGCACCATCGGGGAGAGAGAGAAACTGCAGTTCGGATTGAACTGGCATTAAAAGTGATTGGACCTTGTTTATTTGCTCTTTTTTCCAGAGAAATTCAAAGTGAAAGCACGCGCTTCACCTTCCCCTTCAACTACAACTTCTACGCCTGTTTTGACGAGGTGAGTTTTGACCTTCAGCGTATTACTAATAACACTCGATATGAGTGACTGAATCATTTGTTTGTTGATTCCCCGACCATTTTGAAGCCTTTTCTTGTGTCCGTTCGCTTCCAGGGTAACGCATAAGTCTTGCTTGTATCAGCTGTCGCATATACGTGACGGGTTCTTAAGCAGTTTTTAATAGGTGCAGTTCCCTCAAATCATCTGTCTCAAGCAGATCAGTTGAGTCTGAAGCACCCAACTAGGCATATGATGTTTTTGACCTGAGGATAATTACAGTTTACCTAGTTGAATGGCAGTCGAATTACTCCGCGTAATTGCTGACAAAGTCACATGCAAAGAATGAAACGTCTCTCTTCCAAGGCCCGTCTTTGATCCACTGGTATTCACTTCTGAGAGAGGGAGCTTTACAACCATCCCAGCGAAGGCGAATTTGCCAACCTACGGCAGGCTGTCCTTCCCTTCGCTTTGGTGCATTTGAGTCATAGAAGTGTGTAGCCGTCGTCAGACCGCGGATTGACAACTTTTGCACTGCACCCCAAGGTTATCCATCCTGCCATGCAAAAGAGGTTGCATAGCACATAATAGATTCGACTATTTACTGGGGTGTGTCTGCCTTTCATTGTTTTCTAGGACCAAAAAATGCAGTAAAACCTTCCTCCAAGCCACCTTTTCATCCCTTTGCAATCTATATCCAAAATTGTCCCAAATATTCACATAGCCTAATGATGGAAAACTGTCAGAGTAAGTGGTTCTTCCACTACCAATGCGGGGAGTGGGAGCTAAGCGGTTTAAAATGAGCGGTTCCTTAAACCACGACATTCTTGACCAGTTTGTGGAGTTTTTTAATGCTAAAACCTGGTGAGTTGCGTCACTGACTACTCATTCGCCAGCCAACTATTAGTCGCTAGCCCCCGACGAGTTCCTGGAAATAGATCCGCTCGTGGCTGAAATCTCTTCAGTAGTATTTACCACCGTGGATACAATCTCAATAGAAACTACTCCCTTAATCCTGCCCTCGTACTGTCCTTCCTTACTCTTGGTCCTTCTATCTACCAGTTTCTCAATGTCAGGCGGGCTATAAAATACGCGAAATCTGCCAATTCACCGTTTTTCGCCGAGGTTAAAGCGATGGAGGATGGTGCGGAGGCAGTGGCTCTCTCTAAGAGTACGCCTCTTTCGGGTCTACCCTGTGATCTTGTGTTCCGTGTCAAGGTATGCGATGCATCAGCCACCTCTTATTCCTTTCTTTGTTCTACCTGAGCTGCTACTTTTCCTGCGACCAACCGTGGATAATACGATCTTTGATCGGTAAACATAAAATGTTCTAATGATATTCAAAAGTTTATGACACGAAGTGTTATCCTAAGCATTACCCAAGTTCTGACGTTTTCTTTACCGAAATCGTAAGCTGGGCTTCTTTCTCCGCACTTCGGTGCCACGCCCCGCCTGGGCTATTTTCAATCTCTTGGTGCATGGTAAGGCAATAGGATGCCAGTTTAGTGTTTTTAGACCACAGCGAGTCTTTCTCCGTGTGCCTCCGACTATGATGCATCTCCAGGTAATGGTGACCACCTTTTCCTTACCATTAGACACGGTCTTGTTTTGCTACGTCACCTCGTTGAGATAACATTTGAGTCACTTAGGCGAGGAAATATAGCTCGTTAAAAGTCAAACTGAGACTCATATACTTAGTCAATTTGTATCGCCTTATTAACTACCTCCTGTCCATCTATCTGTCTGAACTGTTCTGCTTTAGGTCTATAGCCGAACGAGGGGATTGTTACTGACTTCCAGATCAGTAGTGACTCATGGTTTAGCCTAAAAAGAGCATTCAAAATAGTAATGCCGCCAGAGAACCTGCTCTTTTAAACGTTAGAAAATTGAAATGATTCTCTGTAATAAAGCAAATGTCTCACGCTGAATGACCCAGCTGTTCGACCTTCAAAGGTCACTATCTTTCATAAATTCTCGAAAAGTATTTTGTGCTTTTAAGGTGGGCATTTGTTTTGGAACAGCAGTGTTTTCCCATCAATGCGCCTCTTTCTTGTCTAGAAATTTACTCTGGAAATCAAGGACGACCCATTTGAATGCAAACTCAGCGATGATTTCATGGTAAGTCGTGTCGGAACCCCTCCTAATTATTTCCTGGCTCCCCTTCTGGGCGGGACGTTCTTTACTGACGACTTTGCCTCGTCCAAAGCTTAATGTTGGATGTGGAAGTAGTTTAAACGGGCCTTCCGTTGTGCGTACCCTATAGTCACCCTTTATGGAGCTTTGTAGTAGCATCCAAATACGGGGAAGTGTGATCATTTCCCTCCTGGAACGCTCGTGCTCGCCGGTGTCATCAACTTAGCATCCAAGTTTTAAAGCAAATTTGTGCACCAAAGTGACTTAAGCACATCACGAGTGCTTGTTACTTAGCTGTTGACTTAAGTAGCACTGATTAGTTGTGCATAATGTCATGCTTAATTGTAACGCTCAAGTTATTCTCATAAACGATATTTGACAAGCTGGAGGCTATAATATGTATGAGCAGGACCTCATGTTTCCAAGGTGAAGTCGGGATCACAATACAGTGATGGGCTCTGCTCACAAAACTCTACATCGTTCCAGGTCCTAATGGACGAGAGCGTTGAGCAACAGAAACGAGTTGCTGCACTGGTCTCCCAGCTGGAACGCAGCCGTCAGTCTCACGGTGCACCACAGTCGTCGGCAATGGCGGCGGCGGAGTTGCAGACTTGCCTAGAGCAGCTGGAGCTCCAACGTGCCGCTGAATATATTGCACGTATTCGACGCTTCTACTCAGGCTACACCATGGCCGATGATCTCTTTACGTGGAGTATGGAGACTGCCTGCCTACACGTCCTTGCTGACGATGCCTTCATATCGCCACAGAAGGTGATCGAGGAGATCCAAAGACTTGACGATGTCAGGTGAACATTTACTTTCTGTTCGTTGAATAGGTGCAGGAAATTCTTGTTTCTTGAAACGTTCACTTTGCTCCTGATGAATTTAAGGGAGTGGAAGCTTCATTTATTCCTTCACAGTCCCCGCTGCATTTATCCACTTACGGTATCGCTTAGCTACTCCCTGCTTACCTATCTACCGCGTGCAGTACCATCAAGGTGGCATGCCACCGACACCGGGTTAGCGCATAACTGGCTGTAGAAGAACTAGAAAGCACGGAAGCCATAAGTTCAGGGCCACAAACTACTAAACGTTCCATTAAATATCTTCAGTCCCTGGAACAACCTCCAGCCCTCCGACTTCAGCCAACTCTTCTGCCGCCGCGTACACCTCGCGGTAGGTCGTTTCCAATGGCAGCTGCGGGATTACTCGAAGCCCTTGGTGGATGCCACCGAGCTGACCTTGACAGGCTCTTTTGCAGTTGCAACGCGACGCTCGATGGACCGGCGGAGTCAACGGGACTGTAAAGTGAATCTGAGTCCAATCTGGCAACCTTCCAGCATCAATGTTGTGCGTTACGTCTCACCAACGAAGTTCTTCTACGAATTGTTCGCTGGTAGGCTCCTCAATGAGGTTTAACTAATTTAGGGGTTCTTTTTTTATTGTACCTGTGTCTGCAACTGGATAGACAGGTGATCTTTGCTGCTGCAATTCATCTCCGGACCGTCAATTCATTCAGTGAGAATTTATCAGCTTATTCTACTTGGTTCTACCACTTTTCTCGGATTCGTATTCCCACCCTTGATAAATCCACCTTTTCATTCGTTAACCTCGAATCCGTCTACTTATCCATACTAGGTTTATCCTACCATCTTTAGCAATTTCGAGCCTGTTTAACATTAGTTCGTTTTTCCAACACCATCTGCATCATCAGATGTCAAGGAGATGTCTTTGTGCTACGGTTCCAACTGGGAGCCTACCATCGCGTGGTTAAACCTGCGTCTTGACGACATCCGACGGGCCTCGGTGGACCCCTCTACGCCGCCGCTAGGTTGGTGGGACCGGGTACGTCTCAGCTATCACGGTCGCCTCGGATTCACGTGCGCGCGCTTCTCCTGGCTCTACTCGATTAGTCTGGATCCCTACAACGCTTACGAGTTTCTCACCTGCCAGTGGACCACCTGCACATTCGACTGGATTCCTGGTCAGTCAGCCTTTCGGTGTAGTCTTGCTGATTGAAATTTTGTTTATGGAAGCTACTTCGGGCGGAATTTATTCTGTAAGTCCGACTCTCACTGGATTGGGCGTATGTTTTTTCCCAAAAGTTTTTTGATAGTAGCTGTACTCTTTCAGACGACGCGTTAGTTATTCAGGAATATTCAGCATAACGTATCAGTCTACTAGAAGTTACTGTAAAGTGGAGCAGTTCAGGAGTTGCGCTCATTCTGCTTCTCAAGATCTCCTTTTACAAACAATTGAAAGAAATCGGACGGCTTCGATAAATGCTCTTTGAATAAGCCGATAAGTGTTGTTAGTTCCGTTGCTTGTTCCTCCCGAAAAAAAGAAAACACAGCTTTTAAGGCAGCCCGTACTGCTGCAGATGGTGGGCACCCCCACGCTACTAAACAAAAAATTAGTAGAAGGCGAAATCCTCTCACCTGTGGATTAAGACGAATACTGAGCAGATTATCTCAGTCTTTTCCGACCAAACGCTACAAGTGATTTTTTTGAACATAAATATGCCTTAAGCGTTTGGCAGACAGCGGTAAGCTTTTATCCATCGATTATTTCTGTTTGGATCGTTTCACGGTTCCTTGTTCGTCCGAGTTCTTACTGTTGACCTTGAAAGGAGGCCCTCTTGCCTCGGACGGCACTTAGTTGCACAAATGTAAGCTTTCTAGATGGTGGATCTATCAACGCTGATCTAAATCTGTTTTTTTTTCTTGGGTGCTTCTGGACGACCGGATTGATAGAATTTAGGTGGATCAGTCGTACTTCCAAGTTGTGACGCTGTGGATCCCTTCTCCGATGTACTGAAGTCTGTTTTGTCTAGGGTAACGTTGATACTTGGTCAGTATTCTCTTTACGTGAAGTTTTTGCCTCCAGAACATGGAAGAGATTGAAATGTATTGGTTTTGGAAGGAAAATTTTTTTTAACTCTAGAAAACTGTGAAAACGTTGCCTCCACAAGCTTCCAACAATGCCCCGGTTCCCATTCTTTTTTGAAAGCTTCTCGATGACTACAGTTCATTAATGCCGCTTGGAGACTTTTGTGTTCCTTGCTGATGGCGTTTTTATTGGACCGATTGCGCAGTTTTGTGCAATTCTGTACCTCTCCAGGCGAAATTGCTGGATCTGAAGAAATTTTGAGTTTTTTTTTGTTAATCATACTTGAATATCCTTGGAAGCTTGAAGAGGATTTGTATTATCTGAAGAACTTTGCGACTTTTCCCGTAACTTTTTCATCGTTTAGTACAAAGGTCTTTCCCTGTTTTCAGGTCACATCTTTGTGAATGGCGACCTGGATTTGTTTTTTCAAACAGCCTCAAAGTACGACGGCGTGTGTCACGTCTTGCAGATACCCGGTCTCAATTTTGAGTAAGAAATCAAAACATTCTCTGGTTATTAATCCAACTTTTATTCATTTCTTGCTCGCCTGCAATACTTTTTCGTACCCACGAGTAATAAGATGGTTAATTTTTAGATTTAATAGGACTGGCGTTGTGCTACTTATTTCATTTAAGTCGGTTTTGGTAGTGGCATTCAAATTGCAAGGTGTGACCTCAATTCAATGCTGACTCCATTAATGTTTGCATATCTTTTGTTCACTGAAGGGTCTCCATGGATTGGCTCTCCTTCGGCAATCAGTTCGACCATCATTCGGTTATGCCGGTCAACGGCGAAAGGTTGACTGCCGACGAGCTTGTGAGTAGTATTATATTCCCAAATCAATTATCTTTTTTTCGGTATTCCCTTGAATATAGTCAAGCTCGTAGAAGACATCTCATTCGTGTTCGGCAAAAAAAGCTGGTGTTGTGTTGGTTTTAAGGCCTAAAATATTTGGAAATAAAATTGACGAGCCGACATGAATGGACGCTGTGTTAAACAATTTGCACCTAAAAGACCCTTTTATGCACTCCATTCTTTTGAATGTGAAATTTACAACTTACTCACGAAGTAAGAGACTGAACCTATGATTAAATTACTGAAATAAATATCAACCTTCCGTGAATGTGATGCTTAGGTCAATAGTGGGTAGTCGTTTAGCCCGGAAACGCACTTGAATGTTCCTCGGAGGAGGTAATCTCAACAAGTTAGGTTTTTTTCAAAGTTTAAGCATCTCCATCTGCAGGCACAAGCATAATTTGGCATATACTAAAGAATAGACAAACGTGACAATTCCTAAGGTCCCGTATATTTAACGAGGTTGTCCTTAGGATCTACCTCTGAGGCAGACAGGCTTCTACGTTCAGCTGGTTGTTTGATGGCATCATTAATTATGCCATCGACATTAAATATCCAACTTCTGCCCAAAAAAGAGAACTGCAATAATACTGATAGGAAAGTGGGAACGTCACGAATGTGTGACTCTGACAACGAGCATATTTAAGAGGGCATTTATTAAATTCTTGCCAAACCTTGTTAGGGACTCTAAATGTACCATTATGGACATTTCCAAACATCATAATGTACTCACAGACAACTGTAAAGAAGGGAGACCCTCATCCCCGGCAAATTTGTACTTACTGCCTACTTGGGACAATTTCATTACTTGCATAATAGGTAACTTTATGTGGATGTAAACTATTTACAGGACTGTTTTTCTGTCTAACTCCTCTAACAAACATATTTTTCGTCCATGCTCCAAATTGCTAGGGCTTCTGTATCATGGTTCCACAGCGAAATCATATTATCCCATTCCCCTGTTATAAAATGCCGAGTACTTTAACCCCTTCTGGTTCCTTTCTAGGCCCACGACTCCTACGCAGTCTTCCGTGGAAACCGCCTTCTGTTAGGTCTCGTTTTCAGCGTTAACGACGTCTCCACTACTCAACCTCCGCGGTGTTTCATCTACACCAACCTGCTGAAGCTCTTTGATCGTCTTAAAATGTGTCTCTCTCGCATCTCTCGTCCAATTCGTCGTGGAGCCGTTTTTAATCGCATTCGTCCTCGAAAGCCCTTCTTTGGACAACTGCTTCAGTGAGTTTTATCCGGAAAATACAAGTATTAATTCATCTACCTCTCTTTTAACTTATACGGTCAGCTCAAATATATTACCGCATTGCACTTCATCTATAGGTCGCTTGGGGTTTCAGTACGAATGCCGTGTCTGGAGGTGACCTACTGGGTCTCCTACAACAAACGCCTAGGCGTCCACGCATGCTGCGGCGCGCTGGACCTTCATAGCACCTTCAGCGTCCACGTGGAGGGCGAGAGAGAGGCTAGAACATCGGCGGGTGCTGTAGTCTTCATTCTGCCCTCTCGCAATCCGCAGAGACGTATTGCACCACAATGGAGTCTTCAAAGGGTCGATGCAAGGATTCTCAACTGTCGCGCGTGGCTCCTGGATCGACCGGATCGAACTGCGTTGCATCTAATATCGGGTGCTGACGGGGTGAGGAGGATGCCTGCTACTTATATCACTTGAAGCCATGGAAGTACAGCACTTTTCATTTGGGAGTAGTTCATCGACGCCTTTTTCTGGTTTTTTTGGTTTAGGTTACACCATCATATATTTTCCGGTGAAGACGGTTTTGAATATTGGGTTTCATGCGTTTGTAGCTCCTGAGTCGACTTTTGGAGAAGTAGTAAGGTGCACGAGTCTGGAAGTAGCAAGAGTTGCCAGCCCATTAGCTTTGATGGATGTTAGAACGACCCAATCTTAGTGCGAATATCCTTTCTTTTCCTTTAAACCTCGTTCTGGATAATTTCTTTGAACTGCTCTTCTGCTTTAGGCATCATAACGGCATTGGAGGGCATTGGTATTAACTACGTTACGGCAACAATGTTTTTCAGGCTCTGTATGAAGAAGTCCAAATTCACCCATCAGTGGGATTTATTTTGTCCTGCTACTACCGCATTTTAAATCTCAATCGCGTTTCGCATGAAAGTGGATTCACTGATCTGGTTTCTAGCTTAACTTTGGAGAAGATATGGGAAGTTGCTTTATCCTTAACAACGGAGGTGGGAGACTCAAAGGACTTGGGCAGTCAAAACTGTTATTGCTTCAAAATAATTCGAAATTTCCCAACCCTTTCCAATGGTATTCATTCTTTTCATCCCCTACAGAGTTCAGTTGACCAAGATAGTCTCCTCACCTCATTCCCACCCAACTCTGAATTGCTAATCTTCTCGTCCATCCGTTTTGAACGGGAACTTAGGAGCCAAATGGACCTGCCAGTCCAACCCGTACGAGTTCGAATTCCTGGTCTGGAAGGCTTCAACGAAGAAGCTAAGGAAGACACCGGCCCTGTGGAAACTGAGGACACAAAAAGTTCTGTAAATGAGGACTCTTCTTCGGTTTCCCCTGAACGTCGTCACACCCCTAAAATCCAGCTATCTCATGAGGATGTGAGCTTATCTAACAGTGACCGCTTATAGGTTACCAGCAGCGTTTACTTTTATTTATGATATCTCTTGTTCTTCACACAGCTGGAACCCGTTCATCGGGTGATGGTGGAGAACCCCAAGATGCGATGGAATGAGACTAATCGCAATCTCGTCTACACCATGATGAACATGTACAACCACGCGCAAACCCTCAAAAAGAACCTCTCAGCGCAAGCACTCAAGGGCATCTCCCTTGACATCGCAAATGGTCCCACGTGCGTTGGCAACAGTTATAACATCTTACTCATTCTTAAGCCTTCAGTTAAAATCAATTGTACTGACTCTCATCCAGTATCCCATCACTGAGCTCATCGCAATCACGTAACGAAGACGATAGAGCGTCGATATCCTCCCGTGACAATGGCGCGGAACCTTCTAAGGCCTCAGTGTGTATCGATGCAGGCACGTTGACGGAGGAGGGGAAGGTGAATGAGCATTCGCCGACGTCTTTGTGCATGAATGCGACGGGGCCTGACGCCTGGTCGGAGGTGCCGATGCTAGCAAAACTAGTGAAGGAGGCGGAGACGGCGAAATTTTATGCCTATTGCGAAGAAGTAAGTAGGGTGCTACCGTGGCGTCTCAATTTGCCCCTTTTACTTGTGTATATCGCTGGGACAATGTGAAGGTCATTGTATAGTCTTATTGGGTGAATTTAACGCAGATGTTCATGTGTCCGCCCTCCTATCAAGCTCATGCGTGGCTCTCTTCCGTTGAGCATATCTACCTGTCATAGTAGTCATTACTTTCGCTATTGCAGATATACTTAATGAAGTCGCACAAGCTACTGATTCTTCTTTTAAGTAGCAAGTTGCATCCGTGCGTAATTTTTTTTCTAAGCGGGGCAAGAAATCTAATGGCCTGGGAATTAGATAAATTCTTGTACAGTATCTGTGACTTGGTTTTTGCCTCACCGATTTTTCTCTAATTTGCTTCTTACCCCACTATAAGCACTAACGCCGCGTGACTGAACGCCATTTGGCTGTTTTTTTAAATCCTCCCTTCCCCTCATTTTAGTTTAGCCTATAAGAAATCTGTTGCCTAGGTAGTCTTTAAAGTTCGTCATTGGTGTAACGAGGACAAAATACGCTGAAGGTCCAACTATGGGGACAAAAAAATATCATTATGCAAGATTACGAATCATGAAGTCACAAAGACCTGCGGAATTTTTATCATTTTTATAATTATAATTCTTTCAACAAACCCACAATTGCTTACACTACTCACGCTTCCCATACAAGTGGTGTATGTTTTCTAAACCTTTCGCTCTGAAACAATCAGGAGCCTAAGCAGCCGGATGTTTTGGACCAACTTCAAGGCCTCTCGCTGTGTACTTCCAGCCCCGTTCTCTCGCGTCAGTGGCACATTGAACTCAGCAACTGTCAGGTTTGTTGACGCCCTAGCTTTTAATGCCTGTTTGCCTTTTCTCTGGTCGAGGTCGATCAGTCATAGTTATGCTTAGATGCAATAGCTTATTTTGTCTTTCAAAAGAGGGGAGCTTTTTATCGCTTTTTTGCCACTAATTAGAAGTGATTATCACCTAAATTAGCTTTATTGCGATTCTAACGCCTTTTGCCCTTTTGCCCAGGTTATGTTAAAACCGAACGATTGTGCAGGCTACGTCATCGTCTCAGCGGCGAAGGCGCGACTGGACTCGGTCGAACACCCGCCTGTCTGGCGCGATGCCCGTCTCCTCTCCAAGTCCAGTCTCATAGGCCAGATGGAGTGCATGCAGTACTACGCTACCGTTAGTAGTGGTGGTGGTGGTGGTGACGTAAGTTGGCCTTGAAATTTTATTCCTCCTGAGTGCTGTCTAAGTGGGCTATATGTCTTGACTAATTGAGCTTCTTTTTAGAACTCGAGCTGAATTCTTGTCGATAAATATCGCTTTTGGGGCGAAAGGTTCTGAAATTGGCTTACTTTTGGCTACATCAGTTGTGCTGCTAGTTTACACAATCTACGTAGTGATGTATAGGTAGCACTAATATGGTGGCTTCGGTGTGGAATGTAATAGGAGGACATGAATTTTAGCGTCAGAAAACAACTTATATCTGCTCATGGTGAATTGGCAGGATGCGGAGCGTCTCTATCAGTAAGCTACTTATTTCCCCAATAAATAGCGTGCAGTTGAGGTCTATAGTGCCAAAAATTAAGAGTGGGTGACTATTATCTTCAATCAGTTACTCATGCCCGTGAGTAGCGCCTGGAGAGTGTGATTCTACATTTCCAAAAAAATGGGTGAGTAAAAAAGGCAAGACGAAGGTATAGGGTATCACCGCTCTCACGCTACTCTTTTTTGAAATCACTAACATCACTGGGGTGGCCCTCAACACCCATCAACGCTTGCTAATTACTCATATCCCCAATTAGTAGCACGGACTGCAATCGTCCAGCTGTACTGGATGTGCGATAAAGTGCAGACAAAGTTGAGCTGTTGGACTGCTTACACCCTTAATCAGTAGCAGCTTGTCCAGGTGAATCATCGTCGTTCTATCTCCCTTTCTCATCACAGCTTGAGGCCTCCACACCGGATCAGTGGTTGTCATCCGCGGACGTTCGTGATTGGCAGCGCTTGGGCGCAGATTTCGGTCAGGACGCGCTTTCCGGCCGCCCCGAGGTGGTGGGATCCGGCCATGCAGTTGGTGGTATCGTCAGCGCTGTACCCTCCACCACCACCTCCACCTCTGTTACTGCCATCCAGCTCCAACGCATGGTGTCGCGCTGTGCCTGTCAGTTCGTCTATGTCACCTACGCACCGCTAGTTCCGACTAGCCTACCTCCTGGTCAATTCGTTCCTCCGCTGGTGAGCATTTCTTGCTGTAAAGCTGCAATTCATTGAAGAGAAAAGTCACTTGGTTTCTCTGTTTATTTGTGACTGTAGCTTGTTTGTTTTATCAGGCACTTACAAGCTACTTATAAGGTGGTTTGAGTAGCATGGCCTTGTGATACTTCCGATGATTTGAAGAAGGTAACTTTTTTTCCTGTGGGGATCCTGTCTAATTACTTTTCTACTATTCTTTTTGGATCTGTCTGCTGTCTGTTTTCCGCCCAACTTTTATTCGTTCACTTGTACGTTACTTATAGGTCGACTTAAGTAGCATTGTCTCACAATCTGTCTGCAGCCTAGTCTACGTTGTTCACTTTCAATAGTACTTCTATTTTCTTATTTCCTATCTATCTAGTCCATGCAATATCCATTTTCTCCCTAACTCGCATCAGATCCCAGACTAGCTGCACAGAAATTGGCCTCCTACTGTGCGTGCCATGTTGCCTGTTACTACTGAATTCTAGTGGTGATTTAGTTGATCTGACTTTTATGGCTTTTGCTCTGCCTATCTGGCGTTAGTTCTTACCCTGACATGATGTAATGTGTCGCGTTGTCTCTTGATTCTGTAGCCCCCAAGTGAGGATGATTCGAAGATCCTTCAGAGTCAGGAGGGTGCTGACACCTTCACGCTACTTCATAGAACTCTCAACCTCTGCACCAACTCGGTAAGTGGCACTGTGATTTCCACTCGCCTTCCATCCTGAAAGCCAGATTAAGAGCCACGGAATACTGCCAGGGAGGTCGTACCGTAATAGACTGTAAGAAGAAGTATTTAAAGCATTCTACACTTTGAACGTGACGTGTGATATGTTCATTCTGTCAGGCTGATTGGTGGAAGAGTTGGCTTTTCCCGAGTGTCATAGACTAGTATTTATGGGCATGAGGGCGGATCCTGTCGAGTTTTGGACCACAATGCCGAAGGAGTTAAAGACTTCAGCGAGGTGTTTACTGCCTACCAACGAGTGAAGGCCGGAAATAAATTTTTAAACCACTTCTGTCGTTGCACATCAGCCAACTGCTATACAATACTCCTACGAGTTAGACGCGCAATCGCAAACTTTTTGGCTAGGATGGTTTGGCTAGGAGTGTGGACGTCTCTGAGACCAAAGACTAACACCTCTATCTCTTCCCCTTCAGCTGCAATATAGCATGGTCTTCGACATTGTCAACAACCTTCTTCTCTACGTGGAGCCTCAACAAAAGGTAACTCCCATTGGATTTTGTTTTGGTATGTGCGTCCATTTGAGGTTTTGCTCTCTAAAACTGGGACTCATCTCACCCACCAAAGACTAATAAGATACTCTGGAACCTTTGAACAACCTGACAACGAAACTATCAAGGGTTTGGAATGCAAGTATTGTGGACAGAAAGATCATGTCGTTGCAAGAGGGCAGTTTGATGCAGAGACAGTTCTGACTTTTGTTCCGTTTTCTCACTTGTTAGAAGCGGTTTTAGACCTTCAACTGCTTCCGTAGGACATTATAGGAGATTGCAAAGGACCGTAGTTGCTTACAGGAAGCGTTAGTGCCTGCTTACCCTTAGAATCATCCATTTTAAGAGGGTTATTTGAAATGAAAACAGTCCTGTCGACTTGCATTTTCACTCCCGCCTCATTCGGTAGGAGCGATTTGAGCGCAACCGAGTGGGCCTGAGTTTGTTGGGCGAGCGGGAGCTGCGACAGGCCATCCTGCGCGACCAGGAGACGTTGCGTGGCCTCGTGAACGCTCAGCGCGTGCACGAGCGCGAGTTGTGGGCTGCGCTGCGCCTCTTTGATCGCTCCCTCCATGCCGCTCACTCCGGTTCCCCTCCTGCTGCTGCATCTACCAAACAGATCCTCGCGCCGGCGTCACGCTTATCCCCCTCCACTTCTGCTGCTATCAACGCTGCTTCGTCTCGTATGCCTCCCGCGCTGGCTGCACAGGCGGAGCAGATTCTGTGTGTTGCACTTCTTCTCCTGTCCATCCAACCATCCATTCCATATCCATCTTGAATGTGCCCATACTTTATTTCAAATGCTGATTTTCTCTTAACTCACCCCTCTACTATTACTACAGGGAACGGACTTAAAAGTACTGCATCGGTGAACATTCCATGGAATTTTTTTGTCCACTGCAGGGCCTTTGAAGAGCGAATTGGTCAGCTGAAGGCGAGTATCGTGGAGAAGAACTCGCTGCTATCGCAGAGCATAGCTCACTTTCAGAAGGTGCACGTCCAGTCGCAGCGGTTGCAGGGCGGACAGAGCGTTGTCATGGCCGGAGCCGATCCCACTGGAGGTCGCCAAAGGGAGATCCTCCCAATCTTAGGAGGTAAGTACTGCCTGCTCTGTCTCCTTTGAAGTATCTTGAAGCTGTCTCTGTGTATTGTCAACCTTGTCAAAGTAAAATGAAAATAACTCAATCACTAACGCGGTCTGTTTCAATGGAACTTCGCCCAGAAAGCACAATAGCATTCTCACGTATTTCTCCACTTCTCCCGTCGTCTAGGCAATACCAACAACACAGAGGGCAAGACTGGATTACCAATAACTCTTCGAAGTTCATCCGCTTCTACAACATCACCAACAGCCTCGGGAGCAACGACAGCTGTGGGTGCGTCGGTGGGTATCAGTGGAGCTGTTGGTAATAGCGGAGCGGAATCCTCTCCTGAGGCGACAGCAACGGAAGTCGAAGCGGAGGTGATACGACGCGATGAGGTCTGTTTTGAGCACGCGAGATGGCGCATGACCGAGGCGGATGGGCAAATCGGATTGGCCGATGTGGAACTACGCGGCTTCCTTTACGCTCGCACTCACCGACGTGACGACTCGGGCTCCCATTGGCTGCAGCTGGGATCGATGCGGGTCCACAGTCTTGCTCCAAACTCGTTTTACAAGGTTAGCATTCAATAGGTTTTTTTCGTTTCCTAATTACATCAAATGTGAAAAGGGAGGCGTATAACCTCGGGCTAATGGCCATCTCAGAATCGACTATGAGTCATCTTCGATGATCGCCACGCTTTCACAATACTGCTAAGTAGTGCTTCCACTTCCACAGGAGGTACTGCTGCCAGACTCCGGCAGCAGTTATCACCACATTGGTGGACCGATGATTCGCGTTGCTTGCACTCAGCGGCCTCCGGTTGGCGGTATCTCTGTCAAGGAGGTGATGGAAATCAGCGTCGCTCCTCTTGTTCTCCAGGTGAGAGGGAAAGTGTGGTGCTTCCATTCACCCCCTGTCAGTGGTGATGATTCTTTGACACAGGTTCATATTCTGCACAGGTCAGCAAGCCCTTTTACAATCAGCTGATGCCTTTTTTCTTCCCCGAACGCGGCAATGAGGAGGGCTCCTCCTCCACCACCGTAGAACAAGCCGATACTCTGGATCCTTCCACTCCAGGAAGTGCGGACTTTATCGCGTCGTCGGAGGACCTCCATGATGGCGTTGAATCATGGCTCAAGCGTCGCAATAGGCAGGGGAGCAAGATTATATCCCGACTGGATCCCAAGACCTGGAGTGGACGTCTGCTGAGCCATTCGGGAAGGCATTACAGCCATCGCCATCATCACCAGCAGCACCAGCAGCGTAAGGCAGTTGCAGAGGAAACTGTTCTTGAAGAGGGTGTTTTGGAAGTCAATCCCACCGTGGAGCAGTGCGTTTTTTCATTTTTAAAGCACCACTCACTTAGACAACCATAAGTAAGATGTTTTTTAATATTGCTTATCCCAAGGAGTGAACGTGGAGGCTCTGCGGGCCCCACTAGTGGTCCGGAGCTCTCGCTGCTTCCTCTCGACGTTATGAGGGTGAGTTTTTTGTCCAAGATGTCGCCTATTTGTGTTCCACATTTAGCTAAATAGTAATTCTTGTTGCCATTTCTATTCGTTGCAGGAACGCGCCCGTAGAAATCATGTCTTTCTCTACATCAAAATTCCTGGCTTTCCCATACGGCTGAGCTACAAGGTCTGCTTTCCTGTTTAAAAGAATATATTATTCAAATAAATAGATGAAATACTTCCATTATAGTGCCACGAATACGTAGCGAACGTGATACTCATATCAAAGGTCATTGTTTACTTTTTTCAGCAATTTTTTTCAATTCTGCTGCCGATAATGAATTGAAAGCGATTTGACTCTTGACCTGAAATTGACAAATATTTTTCAAGTTGGACGTCCATTCTCCAGCTGTCATGTTATTGGTTAACCCGGTTAGCCAATGGCAAGGGGAGCTAGGCTAATGAGCCAATCAGAAGAGGTGATATTTTTTCCTCACTTTGTGCAGGGTGACAAGCAGAAGAACTTGGCAGACGTGACCAATTTTGAGCTAAACATACCAATGCTGGAATATCACAACCGCCTCTGGACATGGCTCGACTTTGTCCTCGAGGTAAAGATGCGCATTCGACGTCAGTTGATCAAGGAGGTAAGTCTGATTCGCCCTTTTTACGCACTTTGCAATTACTTTTTTAAATAGTAAATAGAGAATTATCTGACCGATTAGCGTATTTGGTGATGCAATTTTCACTGTCTAGATGTTTGGTGGGTTTCTTTCTTATTACATTCCTCTTCGCAACATTTACTGACGGTTTCGCTCTTTCCCGCAGGATATTTTACTAACTGCCATCAGTTGATTCTTCAATTTCTTCTTACTTCTTTATCTTTAGATACTGGAGAGTGCTTTGTGGAGGAGACTTGTCTAATCCCCTACTTTTTTCCATTTCGGGGAGTTCGATTTCACCGGTTCTCGTCAAGTATAAGGCACTTAATGTGGTCCACTACGTATACGGTGCACTCACTCAAGCCACAAGGGGGGTAGCGATTACTCAGTCACTGAAGCGGAAATTGAAGGCCCAAGTCACACCTTCAGTTGAGTTGGGAAAGTTGTTCGAAGTCTGGCGAGCGATGATCTAATCTTCCCTTCCGAATACGTCAAGCTGTTTGATTAGCTTCTTCAATTCGTCCACTGCATCCTCGTCACTATTACTACCGCTCCAATCGTCATTAACATTGGTTTCGGTTGAGCTTAAATCGGTCGCCCACTGGACACGCGAGTTTTCTGTCGAGGATTCCAACAATCCGCGCTTCTGATTCTACAACGAAACTCGTTGTTGTTTGTAACATTTAGTTGTCTCTGTAGATATACTTTTTAATAAGAGGTACAGATGAAATCAGTGCGTTGCGAGGACACAATGGTGGAAAATGTGCATTTTGACATAGAGACGCAAATACAATTCCTCGTTAATTTCGCCCTACGTATTTATTCCTTATTGCTAATCAGTAGGCGGTGTTTTGACAACTTATTCCACTCACTATCATCTGATCCAGCTGTGGTAATCCTCTCCAGGTGATTAAGCAGAAGTTGCGCCCCCGTCGAGCGCTCTCGTGGCACATGGCCCGTCCAGCCTCCAGTGATCGCGTCTCCGCCGTAGCTGCGGAGGCTGCTGACACCGGAGTCGAAGAGGAGACGAGCCTGGAGGGACACTTTCATAGCAACAATTCCTCCGCCTCTCTCACTGCCTCCAATACCCTTGCTGCCAGCAGCCGTCGAGAGCAGGAAATTCTGAAACTCATCCTTGGGCGTCATGCCGCAGAGCATCCCGTCAGTTCGATACATCTCTTCTTTTGGAATGTAATCAGTTCTTTGAGGATTTTCAATTTTGTGCGTGGTAGCTTTTCGGGTTAAAGTTTAATCAATGTTTTTATTTATTTTATTAACGAAAAAATCTGTTGATCACTTGGGCATAATTTCGTGGACTTCAAAACAAAGAAATTTAACAGAAGAGGAAAGGAAGGCGACTTTTTCTTTGGAGTGACAATTTACTTTACACAACTTTAGCTGTCGGACTTGTATTCTGTGTAGATTCTCTACTCTTTATTACATATTCCAAAACTTCGTAATCTCGTGACGACCCCTAAGAACAGTGAGGAAGTTCTATTTCTGTAGTAGATGAAGGAGGAAATTTTAGACCTCTCATTTATTTCGTGAATTCCTCCACCATCGCCTCAAGAAGAACAGAATCAGACGCATCATTAGACTTGCGCCTCTCTTGACTCGACCACTTTGGTTTTCATCGAAAGTAGATAAAGCGTTCTTGGAATAAAGTTTCGAGTACCCGTCTTCCCCCTAGAACTGTTGAAATAAAAGGGAACGAAAATTAGACGTTAGCCTTTGTGGAATACCGAGAGCTCGGCACTTGTTTTACCAACCGTCATTTGATACCCAGAGTGATCTACATGCGTCACGGGAGTCTTTAGCTCTTGAACCTTCCGGTCCACCCGCAGCCGACGATACGGGAGGCAAATTTTTTGCGCTCTTGTTTGAATACGCGTTGATGCCGATGTGTTAGCGCTCCTCACACACGCACACACACACACACACCGGACCTTTGGGATGCTGCTCCTCCCTCGTGTCTGTTTACACTCCAGGGTGACAATTTTTTACCCTAAATTGCAATAACCGGCAATTTGCGAGCTCAAATTTGTCACAGGCCGCACTCACCTATGAAGCTTTATGTAGCAGAACTATTTACTTGCCTGGATCCCCACATTTGTCTCCTCTTTTTTGCCATCGTCTTGTCAGTTTACACAAAGATTCCAACCATAGCTGACAAAACAAACATGATTTTTAGTAAAACTGATGCGACTCCTCATTTTTTTCTGTTTTCCAGCAGCAGCCTAGCGGCCGACGGAGATTTCGTGTGTTTCGCTGAGCCCTTCCCCTTTCTAACATATTTTGTCTTTTGAAAATAAATATTCATGTTTTCGCATCCTTTTGTCTGATCTCCTGGACTGAAGTGTCATTACTTAGAGGCTAATGTGGTGATTGATTGAAGCCTCATTTTTATTGCTGTCGGGGGGCTAAGTCTGGTCTATTATCAGCTAGGATGGTGTTGGAAACTTGGCGAGGAGCTGCCCCCAATGGCTAAAGGGGCAGAAATTGGTGAAGGCGGATAGAAGTGTCTGCGTTGAGTGGTTTCGGAAAAAAAGTTAGTGGTATGCGGGTCAGGCTGTCAATCCACTACCGCTGTAGTCATCTGGGGTTGTATCCAGGTGGGGCGGGGCTGTACCGAGTTTCTGGCCTGCATGTACCGGTGCCTACTCGAGTCGTTCACGTGTTAAATTTCTACTTTACTGGATTGGAGATGGCACATTTGGGAGACCCTCTTGGTATTCTCAACAGCTGACGCTTGTGACAGTGTGACATTGAATCCGTGTGAGCTGGCTCAGTTGAAGGATCCGTTTTCTCTGAGTCCATTTAGCAGATTCAGAACTGTGGGCTGTGGCATGAGCGAGTCTTGAATTGATAAGTGCTACGAGAGGCAGGGAATGCCCTCTTAATGCTCTCCTGCGTTCAAGAGAAGCCTCCTTTTTTTTTCCTTACGGAAGCATCAACTTACCCTGACAAATTGGCGGTTGTGCCGGGCTGGAATGCCCCATTGTTTTGACAAACTCTTCGCCGAGGCTCTGCTCAAACACTTTGCTCTACTTAAGAAGAACATCAAAGGCTCAATTAAGTGCGCCAGCCTGGATGTGGGTTTTGGTGAACAAAAGAGTTAGCTGAGCTTTAAAGGCAATTTGACACGCCCTTAGTGATCCCTCGCCAGCTTCTTAATCTCACATTGAGTAAAGGCGATGCCCACAAAATAAGGTAGCAAGCTATCATATTTCTCTCCCTTTTTTGGCTAACTCCGTGGCTCCAGAGGTGCCACTGGCGCTGGGCTAAAGCGCTGAAGCCGCGGTGCCAAAAAGGTTGGGCATACCACCAGCGAGGGGGTTGAATTCAGGATGGACCCACGCTGTCAAGCCCTGTGTTACTTCTAAAATGTTTTTTTTTTTAATCTTCATGAGTTTCAAACCAGCGGTATTCGTACTCTACGTCAATATTTTTTTCTCTCTGGGATTAGCGCTGTTACACTGACGCAGTCAAAGACGTGGTGTAGTCGCTGCGACTTGTATCAGGCTATAAATAAGGCGCCTTCAGTCAATCTGCCTCGAAGTTCGCCTTCTCATGTGGCAATACACCTGCACCAGCGTCATACACCAAAAAGCGTCACATTTCCATTGCAACAGAAGTTGAAAGCAAGAGCAATCCTCCCCTTCGACTGTATCCAACCCCCCCCCCACCCCGGCCTGGGGATCACTTTCTGCACCACTGTTTGCGAATCGCGTCGCCAAAGGCGCAAATCAAACATGCAAGCGGAGTCTTGTGTACCGCCAAATTGGTACAGTGAGGAAAGGTAAACAAAGCCGGTGGATATAAAATCCCCCTAGCAGGAGAGGGCGGTGCCAAAGTTGATTGGAGCTTCACCACCAAAATGCATGCTGTCATTTTCCTCATGCTGCTCGCTCTCATGAGAGCTCGAGTCATCGAAGAGGCACGCAAGGAGGAGAAACCCATGGCAGAAGGAGAAGAAGAGGAGGATAAAATTGAGGGTGGAAAGGAGGCGGAAGGAGGAAAAGAAACCGAGGCGGATACTAAGGAGGAAGAAGCGGAGGTTGGAGAGGACATGACTAACGAAGTGGAGGAGGAAGTTGATGGAGAAGATATGGAAGACTTTGATGAAGAAGCAGAGAGAGAATCCGAGGAGGAGGCAAGACAACAAGAGGCAGAGGAGATAAAGTCAGTAGAAGAAAGCCCTGCAATGGCGGTTGATAACTTTCACTCATCCCGTTGCCCCGTGTGTGGCTCTGCTTCCAAATGCAAAGGGTCGATCTGCTTCCCCTGTAAGTGTTCTTCCCCATCCGCAGTGCGCAAACCGAGGTGCTACTGCTGAAATTCGCATCAGCGTGTCGACGACAACCATCCCTTTTAAGCGGTCACATGTAACCCCCACTAGGCAAATCCATTTGTTAGACTTAGTTGTTCTTTTTTTGCTTTGATTGGTGAATAAAGCCATTGGCTCAGACGTCAGTTCTTCAAATGTGTTTACGAGACCTTGTGAAGCTGCCGATTTTACTCTAGGACACAAAAGATTTATCACGTTGGGTGTTTCTCGCACACTGTGGGTCACAAGTCTTCTTCCCTTAAAGACATTGGAGGACGTAAGGTACGGCGAAAAAGAAGGGCCAGTGGATCGTTCACAGGACTAAATTTAACTTAGGCCAGTCTACTTAAAATTCCCAAAAAAGGTGAAATATCTGGAAATGGTGTCATGTATGCATGTGCTGTGGAGGTCAAGGTAGCCTCAAAACCGCTCCTGTGTTGTGGCTATCAAACCTGTGCATCTAAAGAGTCTACCCGACACAATTATCTTATAAAATCAGCACCCTTCAGCCATAGTTGTACGCACCTGGGTTGGGCTCACTGGAGACCGATCAGGAGCTGAATTGAGCGGTGCATCATTTGCTTTCCATTGGTGCTTCAGGCTGTCTGTACATGGTAAGATTATATCAATTAATTGCGAAAAGTAATTTGTCATGCAGCCATTATTACCGTCTGTTGTCTTGCTCATTAAGTCGGCTTTGATCTTCAAATCCATACAAGTCTTCATGTTGCCATGGCGCTGCTTTCTACACCGATAGTACTGAAAGGCGATAGGTGGCGGATAGCAGCAGCGCCATTGGCTCGCCTGAAGGTCACCGGGTTCTACACTCACACCAAGTCCTTGTGTGAGGCGCGGATCACTCCACTCCACTTATTGCGTACATCAGGAGCGTGAGTACTCTTCGGAGTGTCTAGGGTCGACATTTGAGGTTTACTACTAGCGTTTTTTGGGGGTCGATAGAAGGAAGAGGCGAAATTGCCGACAATTTGCTTTATCGCAGTTTCTCTCTCCTTTAGGCTCATAAATGTCGTCTTCAAAATCCTCGGCAAAGGCTACCAATTTGGAGGTCACAAATCCCGAAGAGTTCCACCGGCTACTCACCAAATTTCGTGAGACCATGGTGAAAAATTGCAAACCCCTACCCGACGAACCCGACTTCTTCGTTGATGACATTATGTGAGTTCTGGAAAGGTCACCTTTGTTGAATTACTTTTAACCTGGGGAAAATGAGCCAGATCTTGTTTCTCTTTTGGCCTCTACCAGTATGACCGACTTTCTCCGCGCGAGGAAATACAAATTGGACGAAGCGGTCGCCATGTTGACAGCTGCGGTGGAGTGGAGACGCGAGTATCAACCGCTCAAAGCTGATTGTCAGTACTGTCATGATCAACCGGGATACCATTGCATCGTAAGTCACTGGCTCCTTTAAGCTGCCTGATCAAGCTGGAATTCATAGATTTCCAGAAGAGGCAAAAAAGTATCCTCTCATCCTAGCACATTTCCCCGCCCCGCCTGTGTGCTCATCGGCCAGCGCCTAACCTGCGTCGAGGCGAAGGCCGTCCGGCACGCACCGCCGTGCGCCAAATTGTCACTGAAGTAGAGACTTACGGTTGTCTTTAACACCTGAGCTTCACATCTACGTTCTTTGACCCTTTTACAAGCCTCCACCCCCCTAGATCTCTACGACTCTGGATTTTGGGTCCTCCTTCCAACGAAAAGTTTGCCGATACACACTACTATTTCATGCTGGCTTGCACCATCGCTGTTTCGTGTGGGTGATAAGGCACCTCTTTTATTTTGGATGTCACCTGAGTATCGCTGGTAGAATGTAGCATAGTAGTGGCCTACTTTTGAGTGACCCTGTTGAAGGTGTAGATTGAGTAGGCCTTGGGCTGCAAAATTCATCCAGACGTTCTGTCTTTTGCCTATTTAACTTGCCCTTTTCAAAAGCTGTATTACTGGGAGCCCGCAGTGTGAGGATTGATCTGCGGTCACCGCAATTCTCCTTCATTTCATCTACACCCATTCCACCATTAGAGTGTAGATGTGAGATCATTCATGTGACTCTTATTTTATTTTACATCACCGTGGTTACTGATCCGTGGTTGTAAACAGCAAGAGTGAAGCGACTTTACAAGACATTTGAGTGTCAGTAAAGATAGAATACTTCATGATTGACGAGCTCTTGTGCATCAGAAAAAAGTGGTTACGCATCACAGGGTGTAGCCGCCTCAACTACAGCCTACTTTGAAGCACCTCTGCACAGCGATCTCAGCTCGGGTCACATGGCAGACGATTCACTTTCATGCCTCAAGTTGCCTGCGGAACGTAACACCGACAAAAGCTTTGCCAGAATGATTTACAAGGAGGTTATTTGCATTTCTTAGAGACGCACGATCGTTTAAAACGGGAATAGCGGCAAGTGGAGACGTTTTGGGGCGGATGGGGAAAGTCACATGAGCAACATGATATCCACCACGTTGCAATTTGTCGCTTCGCCGCTTACTGTTTATAAGTAGTATCTATAAGTCACCGCTTAATAAAGCTGCTGAAAAACCTAGTGAGTGGTGAATTAAAGGAAGACGATTTGTAGGCGTTAGGACGGTCGAGTGGACGTCTGAAACACGTTTGTTCCACTCTGAGGGATCGGAGTTCTTTGTCTCATTAATCCATGTCTAAGTGTTCCAGATTAGGAGGATTTCGGTGGCACTTCGCCCGCTTTCGGGTCCACGTCTAGCTATCACTGCCTTGGCCATTTTCACGAGCCCACTCTCCTGTCGAGGCCTCAACACATGCTTCGTTGGCTTCGTAAAATCAAGTATAAAACTTTTTTGCTCAGTAACAAGTCGATTTGTGATGGAATTTCTGATGTTCTGAGTCAGAAAAGCAATTAGAAATAACCACTCGTGTGGCAATAGTTCGTCTCACCTGCCATGAGCATCCCGGAATTCACTCTACTTATTGTTTTCTAAGTACTATATCCCAACGAAAAGCAATAATTCAGTTTTTAGTGCTTGGACGGGTGATCGATTGCAAAAAAAACTCGCAAAGGTCTTTCAGATTGACAGGCCTCCTTAAGACTAATGCTGATGACAAGTCAAAGCGTTGAGGGTATGAGTTTTCACTCCCCGGCTTCAATTTGCCTAGTCTTTCTGGAAAGCAAATCCACTCCTATATTTTAACCTTTCAGCAGTGTTTCATCAATTCCTTAAAAATCTGGGAATCGTGCAATCTCACCAACATTTGATCAGCAATCTGAGACCGTTGTGGACGGTACCCGACTTATCCATCACCTCCTTTCTGCTTTTGACCAGTAGATCAGATTGCACATTGTCTTTTGTACTGCAGCCTTAAATGCAGTATTAGCTAAGTTCCAATTTAAGAATCTTAGTGTAACAGATAAAGATGTTAAAAATATATAAAGTGTTTTTTGGAAGTTAGGTCTTGGGATGGGCACCCGAGTCCAAAAGTCCCGTTTTGATTCGAACAAGGATGTGGTGTTACTACGAACGCTTATTTGATCCCAACCCTGGCTACTTTTCAATGGCTAAGAAAATCATACTCACATGTTTTTAAGGGTATCACATTCTCTGTCACCATCAGTCAGCCAGTCTCACTTAACGTACTCAAGGTAAAGGTAACTAACGCCTACTTATGTCCATTTCAGCGTCAAGTTGGACATGACAAGATTGGGCGCCCAATATTGTACGCGTGTTTCGCCCAGGCCTTTGCCACCAAAAACCACTCAGTGGACACCATCATGCATTGCGTTCAGATGTTGGAAAATGCACGCCACTCCTTTAAGCAATCGGCCACGCAGGTCGTCTTCATCATTGACTGTACAGGCAAGTTTTGCACTTCACCACAAAAGTCAGCCCGCTTGAGATTATACACCCGGATATGATCACTTGCGTGAGCTTGGACCCCGTCTAGTTTCTAATCGTAGCAATTACTTTACAAAGGCTTTGATTCGAGCGGGTATGAGTTAGCAGGGAATATGGGGCATGCATACCTGATTAATACCCAGCTAGTGAAAACTAACAGAAATCCAGAGTATTCTCAGTCTCGTCTTGGTTTTTATGGTACTTGCTTGCCCTTAATATGCATCTCTACGTGATGTCGGCCAGTTAAGATGTGACTTGGCGAGAGCTCCACCTTCTGAAATACTCGAGAAGTAGCCACGAAAATCAAAGATTTCGGACAGTCGAAACAGAGGCGCCTTCTGCAGTTGGAGGTATCCGCAACCAAAGAAACCTACCGGTGCATACGCTTGCTAAGTATGCTATAGCCATCTTGTCAAATGTGGAGGACCTGTAGGTTTCAGGTCATCTACTTATCATTAATTAAGTAGCAAACAAAATTCCAAAGTTCCCATATAATTTATGGGATTTTTTTGTAATTTGACTACTAACTGATATCAAAATGCCATTAAAGGTCACTATTCTGACCTCTCTTAAATGGCAGGTATGACACTGCCGTGCTGCAACCCCAACCTCGGAAAGAAGATGGCGAGCGTCTTTTCCAATTACTATCCCGAACGCCTCGGTGCTGCCGTGATAGTGAATCACAAGGCCATTTTCCAGTCTATCTGGCGAACGATTCGAAAGTTTCTCGATCCTGTCACCGCACGTAAGGTGATCTTTTTGAAGCAGAAGACATCACAGAAGCACTCCTCCAATCCGGAGAAGAAATCGAAGAGACTGAGTGAGGGTCTTCGTGAGCTCTGCGACGAGGCAACAGCTCAGTGGTTGGAGACGGAGATTCAGATGAATCGAGAGATCAACGAGAATCAGATGCGATTTTGGGAGAAGCCCTCAGGCGGTGCCCACGATCCGAGAGGAACGGAGGCCTTCGTAAGGGAATTCATTGACTGTGGAAACCCGCCGAATGGTTTCATGCCGCATCCAAATATTGTGGATATGGTGTGTGGTAAACTTGCACCCGGATATCCTGTACATCTGAGGAAGGGTGGCGCTGGAGACAAATTTGATAAAGAGCAGATGAAGGAGTATGGCATTGATAGTGTGGACGCGGACGATGACGAGGATGAGGATTAAAGCTGATGGAGGCTACTTTGCTTCCTTGCATTCAGTTCAGTGACTTATTGACGCTTGTCTTTATTCCCCGTACGGCAGAGCGAGTATAGGTGGAAGCATGCTCGCCCTACTGACAGTTTTTTGAAGTAAAATTTGACTTAGGCATGTCATGGTTGAGCTAACCATTGTTAAGCAGGCGATGGAGTTATCACACGTCGTCACAAAGCAATACTTGGGAGGAAACAAGGATTTTCACCCAAGGGAAGGCGTAAAACTCAGTGTCGAACGTTTGAGCGTAGAGGAAACTGCAGGGCGGAGTAATTAGGGTAAAGGGGGGTTCAACTACAAAATGACGCACCAGGACAGATTTTGTGTTGATCAAGCGAACGTCCTCTGAGCTAAAAAAATTCCTTAGAAATGCGTGCTATGAGCTAGGACTCCAGCCACTGACAGACGAACAGACGGACGAAAGCAGCGCCGTCCTTGAGAAGTTTCTATCATTCACCCAGATGTCCCACCGCCAAGCGGCCGAGTTTCCTATCACCGCAGGACTGACTATGCGGATACACTTTTTACCTCTTCCGTGGGAAAGGGCACTTTATGACCGCACACGGCTTCCTTCTGGCAAGTGGCACCACAATTGTCAGTCATATGCCATAACGACATGTGGAAGAACGCCACGTTCCATGCCCAACGCGTCGGCCGGTGGCCGTAAAAGGACGCATTTCGAATTTCCACCCGTCAGTACGTGTGAACAGGCGGTATGGTGGCGCGCCTCGTTATTGGGCAAGAGAATAGTCAAAGGGCTCCCTCTTACCTAAGCGCTCCTTGTGGAATGGAAAAATATTATGGATTCCCAGGAAGACGTAGATTTCCTTGTTCCCAAGACATGCAGCCATATTAGCTAAATCCTCGTTAAAGAAGACCCACCAAGCAAAACAGGCTTATTGTTCACCTAACCGATATTCCAAAGAAAGAATAAGAGAAGGTGAACGAGAAGGAAGAGCCGGGGGAGGGGCCGACGAAATAATCGAAGTCGTAGAATGGGGGAGGAGGAGGAGCGGGGAATGGGAGGATCGTACAACAAGAAAAGCAAATAAGGCTATTCAGATAAACTGAGAGATTTGCAGATTAAAGAAGTAAATTTCAAGAACCTAGCTGGAAACACACGTACATATAAACGAGCACTGGAGACAAAGCAGCATCACTTGGGTCGTGGAATGCTCCTCGATTGGCCTTCCACATGTATCTCCTCCCCTTCTTCCCCCTCCTCCCCTGAATCCACTTGACGAGGAGTGGCAGGTGACTCTTGACAAGTTGGTGCACTGTGAATACTTGTCACACTGACCCGAGGCAGTGGACTGAGGTAGAAGGGTACTGCCAGACCTTCAGGGGAATGCGGCAACTGCTGAAATTGTTGCCGCTGTTCTTCTAGATCCAGTGGCAATCCAATCTCCAGCAATGATTGAGTGGAAGTGGGAGCGTACGGCACACCTGCCGAGGTCACGACTAATTGAGGGGCGGTACTGGCAGTTGTGGTGGTGGCAGCTGTGACCGCGGTGGCAGTGGTGACGTTTGAACCGAGGAACCATGCAGTTCGACGAAGCATCGCCTCCATTTGGCGTCGATGAACGGCTCGATAACGGTTGCGGGAGCGTCGAATGTAGGAGCGGGTAAGGATTTGAGTGTGCTCCGTGCCTTCAGAGTCATCAGTTTCCTCTTTTGGGGAGTCATGGTTCTATAAAGAAGGGTGATCAAAAATTGACTGGAATCTTATATCCATTACCGTCATCGCCAATAATGCTGTGCCGTTGGCCATTACCAAGCTGGCCACTGTGATTATTTTAGACCTGAAAGGTCATCTAGCATCTATTTAGTCGATATTCAGCCCTACTAATCTATTTGTTACACAAAGACCCATCATTGACAGATAAAGAGCGGACGTCACACATGTGTGACACAGAGTAGAGATACGAATTAAGGAAGGTTTGTTGTACCTGTCGCTGGAAAACAATGTATTTAATAGAGCGATACCCACTTTAAAGCAACAGCTTCTCTTTGTTTTAAAAATTTCCTTTATTCTTAAGCCAAGTACACCAAAGTTGAGCTTTGAAAACGAAATGGAGAGTAACGCCCACTGCATCCATTTACTCATTCGTCCGCTACGTGAATACGCCTTATTTCCGATATAAGTAGTACTTGCTCTCGTTTTGTTTTTAAGGATCTTTGCCTGGCAAGTGTCTTTAGGTACATACCTGGCTAGCTGTCAATAATGGCAACTTCAAATTGACATACTAAGGTTGCTTTTTCATCCCCTTTTTCCCATCGACATTTCTGACACTCTCCTATCAGTATGATCTACCCCGCGGTGTTTGAATTGGTCGGAAGGTCATGCCTCCTCGTCATTAAGGAGGCTGGCACAGATTGGAGGTGGGCTTGGGAGAAAATTCAGCTTTAACCAGGTGTCGTTCCGCCGTTCTCAAGAGATTGCTGTCGAGTGATTCCAATCCGTCCGGGCCTACGGCCTCTCAGCCCCTCCCCATGCTTCTATCCTCCTAGGCCTTGTTAAATTTTCAAAAGGTGGGAGGAGATGAACTAAACTAATAAATGAATCTAGAGCAAGGTGACTCCGTTGCCTGGTTACCCAACCCAGATGCTCCAGGAAGGTTTATGCCTGTTCCGTATTAGTGAATCTGTATTGGTTGAAACGATGTCCTCCTTTGGAAAGCCTCCACAAGACCAAAAATATGCTTTTAAGGGAAGTGGATGACATAAAAGCATCATCTAGTCTCAATCGCATTGTTTCAGGTTGATTATTCAGGGGATAGGATGTTCATATCTTCCAAGCAAACTTTCAGCATCTACTTCAGTAGTCTCTCCACGATATGTACCCTCCGTATTGTCTGCCCTCCCGTTTCATGGAGCGCACGCGGGAGGCAGATAGGATAACATTCAAAAGAGTAAAATTGGTATTTGTTTAAGCCTTTTCTTAAAGAGATGGAGCCCTCAATTTTTTGAGGTTCAATCGCCACCTTGGTGTCAGGGATCAGACCTTGACAAGACTAGTAAGCCTTTTTACGACCTCAGTGATAACTCCGCTGGTAGAGGGGAGGGGTTTAGCGCCGCCGAGTAGTTTAAACTACCTCCTGCCTAAACCGGAGGATTTGCCACCACCATGTATTTGAGGATTTAGGGCGTGGAGACCCCATCCAACCCCTGATTAACTATTGCGTCCACCAATCATCGGGCGACCAATGAAAATGAAGTCAAACAAAATACCTCTTTTCTATCGACTTTATTCTCCCTCTTTGCCTAAAAGTTAGCTTTTAATACAACTACTTAATCAATTTCCCAATGCACGCCAGCTTTTTCTAAAAATAATATTTCCCACCCTTAATTTCATTGCATTTAGTACGAAGCAGAATGCATGCCTTGCACCAAGAAGCAATTTGTCCGGTGCAGGGCGCTTCGCAGGCCTGTCAAGCCATTTACTGTTGCTGTTCAGGTGGTCGAGCCTCCCTCCTCCCTTTTATTCACATTAATGAACATTTACCAGTGTCCTTGCTAAGATTAGTCTCCCGATGTGGGATAAACTTCCTCGACTCTCCTGCGTTCTCGATGCGACTTGCGCTCACTTTTCTCGCCCCCTCGAGAAAAAAAAAACAACGCCTCTGGGCGATCTTGATCGTTCATAGAACAAACGTCAGATTTTTGGGAAGTGGAGCAACAGACCGCCAACAAGAAAGGCCGATCAGAGATTTCTACTAATTGTGCAAATAGCCCAAACAAGTCGAGAGGGACGCACCTCCTCATCGACGTCTTTCGGCTCCACCGACGGTGCTTCAGCAACAGCTGCGGTGACGGGTACTTTAGTCACGCCTACAGCCTTCGTTGTTATTGCCGGCGTCGGTGGTTGTGGTAAAGCGCTGACCACGGAGGAGGGTGAGGGAGTTGTGGAGGCGAGGGAGGGAACAGTAGCGGTGGCCTGGGTGGTCTGCTCACCTTCTCCTCCTCCAAGACGACTTCTCGTGAGACAGAGCAGTCGGGAAGCCAAAGCGAGGATTCGGCCCACTGGTGGCGTGTATTTTCCCTCCTCGACACCTTGAAATAGCAACATTGAAGAGGGAAACAGTGATTTTTGGTAGTGAGAAGGTATTCAATCTGATACAGTTCTTTCGCCCTAAAAGTGATATGTCGACGTGTACGACCTCCCTCAGCCCAGAATTCGTCGATCGAGAGGGCAAACTACCTTCACAAAGCGTCAAAAACGCATGGCTTAATGTTTGTTCTCCCTGTCGTCAGCAAAGTCACTCTCACATGCTGGTAGAAGGGTTGCCAGTGACCCCTCACCTGCATTACCGATCATTTTCCCATCCGGAATCAAGTCACCGATTTGAACTTTTCGCCCCTCCGTTGGATTAAATGCCGCACAGTAAAAACGCCCTTTAAATTTATCCGCCAAACAAAAGGCGTGTACATTAAACAGCCAAACTTGCCTTCATGCAGTGCTTTGGAGACATTAGAAGGAAGCAAATCGTCCCGGTTCCCTCTCTTGTTCATTATCCCTGCCCTATCCTGCAAGCAGACCGTGTAGACGCATCGTAAATCATTTACAACACCCTGGGGTGCATTTGCTCTTCCCACACTCCCTCGTTCTCCCACTCGCCCTTAATTTCTGTGGATTATTTGCACTAAAGAATGTGGCAAGCAGATGGGTTGGACTTCAAAATCTGTAAGCAATCGTGTTGGTCAATGGCAACATTGGCGGTGGTGGTGGTCGAGCTTCCTGCAAGACAGAACTTCATGTCGAAAGGATCCAGGATTTGGAGACTTCGAGGAGGGGATACGCATCCACCTTCTCATCTTTTCATGAGAAGACAAAACGGAAAAGACTCTTTACCTTATCTGGACCTCAGATAATCCGGATCCAAACAACCGTAGGCTATCGCAATCCCCTCGGAAATAATGAGGGGGGTTTTGCGGGTGCACCATGGATTGGACGTGCGCGTACGTACTATGATGACTAGTGGAGTTCCCGCATGAGCACCATCTCCGCGCACATTCCTACTTGAATGACCTTGACCTCATCACGGCTGTCTGTGACTGTGGTAGTCGAGCCTCCTTTGAAATAGATCCTTGTGGCCAAGAGGCTAGTTGAAGTCTTCTTTTCATGTTTGAAAAGACAGACAAGCTTTGTCCATCAACCGATGATGTGGTACTCCATCGTGGATGTCCTGTGCTCTTCGTAGAACAGGCTTTGCAATCTCAGCACCACCGTTAGAGACATAATTCAAGCTATTCCATGCCTTGACAATCACCTGGATCCCCTTCATTCCATTTTTGGCCGTCAGAAGTAGTCAGGGGGTTTCTTGATGCCTTGGATACAAGTGCTACATCACCATTTGTCTCGGAGGCAACTCGACTCCAGCAGCTACTGAGTTGTTGTATCCTTCCACTGAGATGCCAGCATTTGGACCACTGAACTGGCATACCGCCTCATGGCTAAAAAGTGTCTTACATAGTCCTCACTCGTAAGCAAAGTGGTCTATTTGGCATGCCTGCCTGGACAGAACCGTCTTTTTCTTCCTTTTTTTCTTCTTTTTCCCACTAATGTGAGTGTGCAGTTAAGCTAGTGTAGGAAAAGCGGATCGTCACATATATGTGACGTCAGCCTACTTAAGAACTATCAAACCGTGAGCAAAAAAATCTTACAGAAACATCTGCAACACTTGCAACTTCTTTAAATCTTTCATAAGTAAAAGAAAAATTTTGACATTTTAAGGCAAACACAAGTGTCAGTCATTTAAACCTGCAAAGTGGCTAAACAGGCCACCAAAATATTAGCCTTCAGGTAAGAGGAGAAAATAAATGAGCTGTTGAAAGACTAGAGAAACGTTCCTAATTGTAGCCAGTCTGATGGCTGGAATTCCTGTTTTGTTGCCCCGTTTTTTTGTTAGAGAAATTTTAATGGATCTCTGCTGGCGGATATGTCCCGACCGAATGCACTGGTGAAAAGCTCTTTCACCTCTCTAATAGGGCCAAAAAGGCAAGGAAGGGGAGGAGGACCGACAAATTTTATAACCGATTCGAGATTACCCCCGAACAGGTGGGTTGATATTGCTATTTTCACCCTCCACCCCCCACCTCCTGGCGGTCCCCTCGCAGTTTTCTAGAAACGGCTGATTGGCCATTCGGTAATGCCGCTCAAAACTCCACTGTAGGCCATAAACTCTTCGTTACAAGGTCTGTCTACGTGTCAGTCCAAGTCTGCCTCAGAGGCGAGTCGGGCAATACACAACTTTCGGAGATTTTCTTGTGTCACGGTGTGTAATTCAACTGCCATTTAAAAAAAGGTGGAATAGTACAGAAAAAAACTGCCCTCCAATTGACTTTATAAACTTAGTCGACCTGGTTGATCCACGCGATTTGACGCAACTAGTGGTGATTCGGAGAGGAGATGAGGAGAACGCATGTCACATATATGTGACGCTGATGGTGAGCAGGTCAAGTGGTGCTATTCACTACGGCTCTTTGAGGCTAGTAGACCGCTATTTAAATTTTGTTTGTATGGGATCAGCTTTTGGCCCCAAACAACACACATTTCATTCAAACTGACCGGAGGGAGAGAGGGGAATGGAGAGAAGGGGAGAGTGACTAACCTTGGCCTTTTTGAAGTGTCTTTTTCCCCTTCAATTTCTTTATCCTAGCCGTGGAACTAGGAGGCACAATGAAGCTGCTAACGACCTGAGACATTGAGGGAATGACTGTGGAGGCGGGAGAGGAGGAGGAGTTTGAGCACACACGTCCCAGAAGTAGGTCCGTGTAGTAAGTGGTTATGGAGTCTCCCAGATGAGCGAATCGAAGAATCAGAGTTTGCATTACCTAAAAGACGAAAACAAAAAAAGTCGACCTCTTTTATGGCTTAAAATGACCACTTTTGTGTCTGGCCAATGAGAAAGCGGGAAAATCGATATGTTGTTCATTGGCTGATGGACCGATAATTCCAAGGAATTTCATTGGCTAGAATCAAATAACACCGACTTCCAGACTGCGGTTCACCACACAAAGGAGCAATGCTAGTCGGAAAATATCTTTCTCAAAATATCTTACTAAAATGCCAATATTTAGTGAATAAGTAGTAGATTACACACCCAATTTAGCTTAAGAAACTGACGGTTTCGGTGAAAAAGTGGGGTGGGTTTTGCGCGCGCACATTGCCAAAAAATCAGTTCATTTCAAAGCTGACCTTTTTACAGGGTTGAAATAAACCACCTATTAAGCAAAACGCATTCCGGCAACGCGTTGTCAAGAGGGCCCAAATATATGGCATTTGAGGTGCGAAGGGGAGGAAGGGGATATGAGGAGGTGGTGGTGCGCTCCACTCCCCATTTTGACATTTTAATGGGTGCACATTTTTGAGATCCTAATTAAGGCTTTGCAGTTGGCCTTCCTCAGTGGATTTAAAATATCAATTTTCGCACCTCGACGCTGATTGGCCCACTGGTTTGAATTGTGCCACGGGGTCAAGGTGATGTGCCATCAGCAAAACAAATTGCTGCAAAGCTATCCACGCTCGTAAATAAGCAAAATAAGGAAGTAAAATTCCCTCTTTTCACTCCAGTTTTGGGCGAAATTGTTGATTTGATATAGGAGAAGCTGGTTCACCTGTCCGACAAATAATACGGATAATTTATGTTTTCCTTCCTTTTTTGTACAGAATCACACAAAAATATGGCCAAATATGCATGTCACTGGGTAGGATAACTTTTCTTTTCCTTTTCTCACCCCTTGGAATTTAAGTCCAGCTCGAGAGTGGTAGGAGTTTCATGTGGTTGTGAAGACATTTTTGGGAAAAGAAATACGGAATTTCTCGTCCCTAAATGCCTCAAAAGTGGGCAAAAAAGCGGGTGGTGAAGAAAACGAAGAGGGTGGGGGAAAGCTAGGGTGTTGGATGAATTATACATGGGGGAAGGGAAAGGCCGGCTACTATTGAGATGGGGAAAGAAGATAATGCTGACAAAAGGAGGAAGTTTTAAAGGACGCTAGTCCCACATCATTCTCGCCACATTTCAGAGGCTGCTGATTTGTTTAATTTGCAAAAAAATGGGTTTTTAAGATCGAGTAAAGCAAGATTGTTTTCCTTCCTCCTCCTCTCGCGCCCCTCTCCGCTCCCCCACTCCCCCCCCACGCCCAATCACATTTAAATGCACGTTTGGCGCCAAAGTTATTATGCATGGAAATTTTCCATTAAAAGTGCATAAATCTGCATATTTTATGGCGATGTTTATGCAAGGGACATTTAGAGTGGTTGCTGCAAGCCTCTGGGAGAAGGTATAATGTCAAAGTGCGGCAGCAGACAAGTCGGCTCCTACCGAGGGAGGAGAGGCGACTTGGCGACGTAGTAGACCGACTTCTGCTTAAATGCAGCACTTCGAGTGAGGAGCCATCACTTGACAGCATTCTCATTCATGGCTGACCAAACCTTCAAGTCTAAATGATTCACCAGGGGAGGGGGAGGAGAGGGAGGGCGGGGGGACTTGCATCTCTCCCTTCTTCCCCGTCCCTTTTTTTGCCTAAACAAGCATGTTGTACTTCTGCCCAAATCAAAATTCCTCGAAGGGAATAAAAAGACGGTAAACCTTTCACCGTGTATATGAGGAAGATGGAAATCCCTTATTTCCATCCATTTTTCCTTTTTTTCTCTCAGAAGCAATGTGTTATCACAACGACGTGATCAGCTTTTACTTTCTTTTAAATGAGAGAACTTTAATTTTCTTAGATGTAAATCAGAATGCCATCTATTTTCTGCTTTTTCTTCCTCTCAAAAATTGTTGGATTTGGGTTAAAGTGGACCATGGAATAACAGGCAGTTGGCATGGCAGATCGAGGGAGTTCTCTTTCCCCTGTGCATGTTCGTGGGGAGTACCTGAAGAGTTGAGGCGTTCTAGTTCAATTCTTTCATGTCAGTACTTTGGAATATCGAGAGACAAAGTGTAAAGACAATTTTTGTGAAGAAGTCACCACCGGGGTTCTTCCAGAAAAAGGATTGGCTCACTCAGCCACCCAAACGTTCCAATTATCCAACAGTGACACCAATTGATCAAAATATCCTTCAGTGCTCAAAAATCAAAAATGGATAAGATTATCTGAGAAGGGATGAACATTCTTCGTTGCAAACAAACCAATTACGACACTATTTGGTGGACTCAGGTTTGGAAACCCAGGCCGTCACGTATATGTGACATTGGTAAGAGACGTTTTTAAGTCGACCTTCAAAGCCTTTTCGGCGTACACTTATCACTTGCCTTAAAAAACTTATCTGATTATTCGCAGAAAACCGGAAACTTCTCACTTTTAATGTGTCAAAAGCTGAGAATGACACGTCCAGAGAGGTGGGTGGCAGCACCCCTGAAGAGAGGAGCCTTTTCAATATTAAGCAATTCATCGTCTCATGCGTGCTCGGTGAGAACGGAACCCGAATTTATTTTAAATGACAACACTCCCCCCTTATGGTTATGGAATGGAGTTCCAGTTGAGCTGCCCTTGTGCTACTGCCGTAGTGGATCGCATCGTGTCGAGTTGCCAACCAGAAAAATTATGGGATCAAGGCCTCAACGCTGATGTCTGAGGGGAACGGCGCTAGCTGATGGACACTCGGAGTGGTCCCATTCTTGCGTGATTTACCATAGCCCTATTGACCTTGACCTCATCGCACTTTGTAGCTCTACAACGTCACTCTGTAGGTGAGATTGACAAATTAGAGGAATTGAAAGAGATCGCAAGTGTCGAAACTTTCCATAATGTTCAAGAAGCAGTGTCTGGACGGGACATTGGAATTAATTGCGTCTGCCCCACGTTGAGGAGCCAGTGGTCCAACAGGGTATTCTACCGATGGACACCCGTAGGCTCTGCTCCAGGGAATAACAAGGAGGAAAAGGTTTCGGGTGGCCTGTCCTGTGCGACAAGATGGCAGCTAGGTACGGTAGGTGAAGACGCTGAATGGAACGACAGCAAGTCGACTCTCCAACGCATCGCTGGGGATGTCTACAACCTTAGGATACTTTTCCGTTTCGATCTTCTAGAACTTTCTTTTCCTGCCTGATCCTTGAATATTCAAAAGCGTCTCGAACACTGTGCTCTCTTATCGTTTCGGGTGCTACCATCCTTCGTAATGTTATCGGGGAGAGTGACAAACATTACTTCCCTCGGATGTGAGGGAACTACGGAGGATGGGAGGAATCGGTGCCTCCGTCTCCTCCCATTCATGAGAGAGTAGAGGTGGGAGGAAGTTGACCTTAAATTGTCTTTCTTTTGACCAAATCACCGGTGTCAGCTTTCTTCCCAAGAAGAAGGAGAAAACGTTTTGTATTTTTTCGGTCACAGTCCCAATTGCCTGACCTTCTTCAACAGACGAAAAGTGCCGTCCGAAGGGCTCCGCGCAAAAATGCAGGAAGTAAGCATAGGCTGGGCTAGAGACAGGAAGCGGTGCAAACTTTCGAGATGGGGGGAATGTTTGGTTAGTGACGACTACAACAGTCACCAGCCAGCCAGTCAACAAATAGAAAACAGTGCCCTTTTTTTCGTCCTATACGAATAAAGTGAGTGAGAGCACCACCTTGACCCCTATTGCTACCTGTCAATGCATGACATATGGAGGCTCTCTTCCTTAGCCGCGCCTTAGGCGATATAGGAAGGGACTGAATCGTTTCATCTCCCGTTTTCAACCCACCTGACTCCCAAATTGCGAAGATCAAAGACAGAGGGTCCCCCTGAATACAGAGCATCGGTGGACGTCTCCTCGACCGTGCGACCTACGACCTCACCTTTTCCAAGCTCTATGGAGAAGGTGCCGGTGGCCTCAGAGCCCAGTTGAAATCATTTCGTACAACAGACACAACCGACAACCTCGAATGACATCGGCGAGTTTGAGTTAATTCGCCGAAAGTAGGGCGGAGGAGGAGAGTAGCGGAAGGCATGGAAGGGGCTGTCCCCAAAATGTAGGCATATTTATTCGCCCTAGTGCTTAAAAGTCCCAGAAAGCCGTTGCCCTCGTCCAGGTGAAAAAATTGCGCTGCCATACCCGGCTAACCGATACCGCCCCTGTCAGGAGGGTGGAGGAATGTAAACAGCGCCTCCCATCTTAAAGGCCCCCCATGAAGGAGATTATCAGAGAAACATCTGTCCCTCTGTTACCCCGTCTTTGAGAATTTTAGCGCTCTTAAGGTGGGGTTCGGGGACATAGGAGAGTCAAGATGTCTTCAACCTCCGAGGCGAGGCGGGACAGGAGGGATAAGAGCAGCAAGATTAATGGACACGTGCGCTCCGTGGAAATTTTCAGTGAAGGGGATTTTTAAAACAAAAAAAATGTGAAAATAAAAAGAGGAACCCTTTTACTCCTCTCCCGACTTCTTCCTTTTCCACCTTTTTACCGGTTGCATGGGAATTGGTCCAAATTTAGGCGGTGAAAATTGATGGCAGTGTGAGCGTGATCATCGCTACTTTTTCCGTCCCACGACATCCACCGAAGGAGGCTATTAATAGATAGTGGGTTAAAAAAAACCCGCTTTCTAGTTACGTCCTAGTAACTCCAAAAGATAATTTTACTGCCTTTTAAATCCACAACTTCTGCTCCGTCTTTCACCTCAATTCTTCTGGAGCCCAATTTCGCAGGACTCGGAGCTCTACGATGGCAATGGCGTTGGCGCAGTCGCAACCTCATCTTCTAGGAGTGAAAAGAGAAGACTTGTTTAAATCTCGTCAACTTTCCGCATCTGGTGCATTTCCGGGGCAGAAAAATGGCGAAGACCAAGGGGAGAGTAGATATGATCCAAAGGAACTGTTCTCTTATCTCCACGTCACATTTTAGCCTCATTTTTCCGCGAACGAAATGTTAGCACCTCTGATTGGTGGAAAAAGTGACTCCAAGTAGACTTAAACAAACCTGAGCGCCTCTATCGACCATATCAACGGAGAGGGGACAGGTGTGAAGGAGGGCACCAGCAACAGATTTGGAGACAGCCTCAGCCAGTGTTCTGATTGGTGGAGGCGGAGGCGGAGTTACGGGCGGTGTGGTTTGAGGAGCTTGCAGGAGGGGGAAGGTGGTGCGGGAAGGGGTGGAGGGAGTACAGGAGTGACAGCCTGTGGTCACCTCAAAACCCGCGTGGCGAACCATGCTGTGGAGGATGCCGAAAATAATTATCGCCAACTCGCGGCATGGAGGTGGCAGAGTGTCGAGGATCCTGACAAAGTGGAAACAAATGGTAGTCACTGATCGCCTTGGTATGTCGGCATCACTCTCTAGGTAGCTTGTCAATCAAAGTATGAACCAAGGAGTGACCAAGTCCAAAGCTGTCTGCTGAATAGGCGATTAGCTTTTCACGACACTCACTCAATAAACAATTCGATTTGATCCATTTCCACAGGCGAAGGGGGTAGCATCCCAAAGTCGCAGAGAAATCCCGTCTGATCGGAGAAGAGGGAGGAGACAAAGACGTCCCCTCCACCCTCCCTTTCATTCCCCAACCTTCCAGTACTACCCTCCGCTGTCACCTCCACGTGGGAGGTCTGGAAGCCCGGAGCGTGTTGAAGTTTGCTGGGAAGACGGTGCTGTACGGATGGCACAGTGGTCGTAGCAGAGGTAGCGCCGGAAGCAGAAGGAGGTTGATGGGGTGAGTGGGGGGTGCTGGGAGGTACCGCAGCCACTAGAAGGCGACGCTCGTTGTGTTCACCGAAGATGCCGCCAGGAACACTGAGGAGAAAGCGCTTGGCGACATTTGCAACGGTGTAGACATTGTAGGCGGACCAGTCTACAACTTCACCTTTAGCCAGGCTTGAACTAATGACCTAGGGGAAGGCGAGACCAAGGTATTTTTGCAGAAGCTAGAAATCTCGCATAGTGTGGTGGTGAAACACTCATACCGCCAGTAGGTGGGGAATTGAATGACCTCCACATGAGTTTTCTAGCCCTAGTACCAGACCTTTCTATACCAATGGAATCTTTGTTTCGTGAACTCTAAGACTAGTGCCCTTTCGAATCCCCAAAGCCTCGGTTCGACTTGAATGCCACTTATTCACTCACTTATGGTTATTCTTTGATAGTTCCCTCAGGGGGAAATCCCTACTACAGCCTACATCACACGGTACAGGGGATGAATTCCCACGCCTAAGGATACTCAAATCTCGCATCACACCTTAATCGAGACACCTCGCCATTTTTAGACAGTCAGCCCTTACCACGGCCAGCATAGTAGGTGGAAAACAGCTGGCTAAAACACCTTCCCACTCCTCCGGTATTTACTGCTAACAGACGGGCTATTAATAGGCTTCCCGTCTTGGCCTTCGCCTTGTTTTGATCCACTATCATTCCACGCCTGCCCGATCTTTTGTCCACTTTTGGGGGCAAAAAAGGGAGGGCCAGGATGACCTAGAAGAGGGATGTTATTTTTGGGTGTGGGCCAGCGGGCGAGAAAGGGTGCAGGAGCGTGAGGGGGAGAGCAATGAATGCTGTTACCGATGGAGCGAGTTGAAGCGCATGTCTATTTTTCCAGTCTAGCTGACTGGTTTTATTATCATTTAGTTATTTAGCTGGTTGGTCAGTTTGTTTGAATTCTCTGTTTGCCTAATCAGCCTTACTCGTAGACAATAAGGTCTTAAGTGATGTTCTTTCTTTTCAATTGAAAAACCCACCTTTTTGAGATCTATGGCTGCTAATTTGGGTGAACATCATTTAACGCAGTTGGGACTTTACCTCGGTTGTATATTTGCAAGCATTTTCGCTTTACTAAATTATGTACAAAGAAGAGGAAGTTTGTTTAATGACAACACCTTAATAAAACAACAAGGTTTAATTTATGCCAGCTTTTAGTGTTTGTGACTACTATCTGAAGTTGTTTGGGTTACTGGCGCTTCAAAATCACAGGATGACAAAGTCATACAACGCTAATTTTAAATGTAGCACGTCAATCGGATTTTTCGCCATTTACCAAAAAGCTGAATATACGAATGCCTTTAATATATCTAAATAACTTACAAGATTTTGATGTCCTTATATTCCCTAAATTTGCCTGAAGTTCAGCGTTATATCATATACCATTATTTATTTTCGCACTAATCTAAAAAAGCCTCTTCAAGTTATTTAAACAATTATTCAACACAAAGTCGACATTTGAATCTTTCTAACTTGTTTTTATCAATAATGTCGCCGGGACTAATTTGAGTATCTGCGATTCTTGCATCATAAACTCATTTTCTCGGGCAAATTTTCAAGGACTTAACTCCAGTATGTCCAAAATTGGTAACACCGCTGATTCTTTTGAGTGTTACTTTGCCTTAGCATTAAGAAAATGACATTTTTGGGTCAACAAAATACACCTTCCCATTCCACAATTCCGGAGAATTCCAGCTTCTAAATGAGACACTAAGCTGTTACTATGTGAACTGAAAAACTAATTTATTCAGCTATTTAGTTTCACTAATAAATGAAAACTTTTATATTCATTTTTAATATATCCGAATGTAATTTAATCTTCCTCAATTGTGAATTTAAAAAATTTGCTAATGTCAAGGAAATATGCCATTTATATAGATGTATTGAGCATAGAAAGAAATTAAAAATAAAATTCTGCATCATCTTTTAGGCAGACTCATAGGACTTAGTAATTGAAGTCATGTTTTGCCCTAAGGTAGGAAAAAAGGGCGAAAAATAAGGAACTACAAGAGGCTCATGGTAACAAAAATACGAAAAAATGTTAATAAATTGTGACTTTTTCGATGGAACACGAGATGACTGCCTACTCTATTTTCTGATTAAACGGTGTATTCGTATGTTGCAAGAGAGAGAACTTGAGCCGTGTGTCTCCCTTCCGAACTGGATGTAACTATCAACGATTGTGAATAGTGAGGAAGAGAAGAGACCGTGTCTTCCTACCTTCCTCCAGTCCTCCTTATCTTACTGGTCTCACGAAAAATCTTTTTTCGACTGATTTTTCATTCCTGTCTCGCTCACAGGGAGGATAGATATTTTCTTCTTCACTATTGAGCTATGGTAGGAGTTCAGCCGCAATCTCTCAGTTAGCCTCACGCACACGCTCTTGAAATAGGAAGAGGCAGTTCCGTGAATTGGCGTTGAGCGTGTCTTAGACGTGTGATGTGGCCAGTGTGATCTGAAAGAACCGACGTTTTGTTGGCCTATTTGTCAAGCCTTAGCTTGCCAGTTGGTTAGGTAACAGAATGAAATCGGTGCGTTTTTACACAAACTTGCGTTAATGAAATAAAGGAACTTCAAAGTGATAACTTTTGACACTTATTATTACCTGTCATGAATGGACACCCTGATATTACTTCTCTTCCCAGCCTCCGTGATTTTCCCACCCAATCGAGGTGCAAAGTGTATGACTTCCTCGCGCCCGTTCTGCATGACTGATAGTTGTTCCTAACTAGTTAATCTCAGATAAGCAAGTTACTATGGTGGAAAATGGCTAGTCACTCTTGGTGTAGAATACCTCTCTTCCAAAGACTCGTTATCCATGACTCCGCCAAGTGCTACTCCAATTCGGTGGGGAGGTTTGTTTACCTTTTGACTGAATCAAACCTGACTAGCTAAAATCGACAAACTCGGAGGTTTGAGAAGCGCAATGCTGTTGTTACCATTTTGTTGTTCTATGACTTCAGCATTCGTTACTCCTTCCGATTTGTGGTGCCATCATGAGAGGTTTGTCTACGTACCTGCCAGACTTGTGACAGAATAGGCGGTAGCATTAAAAAGGGAGACTCCTCAGGGATATACTAAATGAATGAATTGCCCAATTAACTCCAGTGTCACACTGTAGTGATACTTCAAGAGGATCTTCCCCTCCCTACAGTGCAAGGAGCTGGAGATGCTCCAAATGGAAGGCGAGTGGATTTAAAGAGAGGCTTTGTTCACCACAAGAATGTTATTTACTGGGTTGCATCAAGGACCAATCTCAAAGGAGGGTCAGGACCTACAGTTCCGTAGACCTTTTACGATTTCATTGCCACAATGACGATTTCATTACTCTTGCAGCCAGTCAAAATCCTGCTGAAGGTGATAAAAAAGGTGATTTTCCTTAGAGCAAGAGCATCCTACATCTGTTTTACCATCTAAAGCTTTGTCATCACTTTGTGACGTAAAACCTAGTGCAATCGCTTTATGATAAAACAGTAAAGCAGAACGCTACAAAGATGTGACAGTTACTTTTGGCCATAGGCATTTATAAATGTTGCCTGTCCAAACGTGTGTTTTGGTAAAATATAAAGAAGTTATATTTAAAATCGCCTGCTGATAACGTTGAATTAGCCCACAGAATGTCAATGCCAATGGCATTATCAAGATCAGAACAAATTAGCGGTGATATGTTAGGCTTTCCTGATTAGGTGGCTGCAATCTGCTACTTCTTGTCCCTTGAAATCCTCTAAACAACGTTGTGCCTTAAGGTTCCACTATTGGTAACCCCCATAGCCCCAAGTAATAGCTAGACACCGAATTCTTTCGTGGTGAAGCCCGTGGAAAGCTGTAGAACTAGTATTATCATTCGCACTACGTTAGCCTATTAGAAACTAGAAATGATGCGGAGCGCAACGCACAATTAATAGAAGAGAGGTAAAAACTTATGCTCATCGTAATGGCAACCCATTTCCAAGTAGAAAAAATATGAGAAATGGAATATTTTGCATAAAATTTGTCTGCAAAGTGAGGCGCAAATGTTGCCTTCTCTTCTGTATTTCCCTAGGTTACATATTTTTAACGCCAAAATTATTGCCAGAGGACATTTAGATGATGAAATACGACTTAACTTTAAAACGTATTCGTTTTAAAAAATCAATCTCTTTCTTCAGGAACATACTTTTAGAATTTAATTTTTACTTTATGGGCTAAATAAGTCATAGGAATGCATCGAAGTTGACCGGAGTAATATAATTTTATTTAGGAAGCATTAAAGCTGTGAAACACCTTCTATTTATAAAATGGATTAAAAAATCTTCTGTAAGGATTTAAAAGTGCAACAATAACGCCCTTAGAAAACCTAAACAGCGCAAGGCAGCGTGTTTAAAACGTCAGAATCGTCCCAACACAGCCCGCCGATATGATCTGAGCTGGTGGTCAAAAAAGTTTTGGATGTCAGTCGTGGCCAGAAGCAAAGTAAATTAAGGGATTATTCAAACTCTCATTTTAATCTGTTTGCGCTTTAATCTTCTATGACCGCTTGGAACAGTCCTGTAGTTGAAAACTACACTCAAAGTCTGGAAGAGGAAAACTAAAGCGGAAGAAATATTGTTTCGTGCTTACTTCATTTACCCCGTTTTACTTTTCTCAAAAACTGGTTTCAGTGTCTTCGTTTCTAACATTAATTACTGTTTCCTACTCCGCTATTAGGCTGCAGTAGGCAAAAACAACAGCAACAAGTTATCATCCCGCGTTCTCTCATATAATGGCCATTGTTGCATCTAAGTGGAGCGGGTACGGCACGGGCGCGCAGCCTCCTCCACTTGTGGACGTGCTACCCACCGCTGCAAAAACCAGCGGCGGCAACAGCGGCAGCAACAACATGTACTAAAAATACCACCCAACATAAACAGCTGATGCCGTCATCGTTTCTATTGCCAATGTTGTTGCTGCTGACGCTGAGTACGGCGTCGAGGCCGGTGATGACGATGCGTTGCGCCCTTGATTGGCCACTGCATCGGGCGTGGGTGCGTCCGTACTTGCCATTAAAGTTTCCCAAGTCGGCACGCGAAAACACATCGCCGGGGATTTAAGTATGCATTTGGAAATTGTAGAGTGGCGAAAAAGGGATGCACTTCCCCTTTAAGTTTCAGGGGAAATGGTAAAGCAAAATTTGTATCCTGTCAGCGGTTCTTCGGTGATGGCATGGCCTTCCCTTCGTCTGCGTAGCCCTTAAACCATTCCGTCTGCAGGTAACAAGCACCCTTTTAAACCGGGACGTGGTAGGAAGGAAGAATAGATTTAGACTGCCTGAAGAGGTCTTTTCCAACGCTGTGAAAGTTGTTGCTCTCAGACAAATGCACTTACTGCAGGCTATCGTTCTACCTCCCCAATAACATCCGCCTAGGTGCAGTTCGGCCCATAAGAAACGCGGCATTATTTCAAAAAGGGTAGTGTACAGATGTTTTCCTGCCTTCGCTTCTGTCTTGCGACTGTGGTTGCCGTTCATAGGAAGACCTACTCCCATGAGATTGATTGCGGGGAGCGTTGATGGCGTGTACTTCAGGAATGACCGTTTATGTTCCCATTATGCCCTTAACTCAAAGATTTACAGGAAAAGGAGTCTTTTCCTGCCTATATTAAGGCGAAATTGGAGAGAAAGAAGGAAAAAACTTCAATTATTTACAGTGGATGTGAGAACCCGGCACGGGATTTGATAAGCGTGCCAAATGTATCAACTATTTGACAGCAAAAACCTTCCACCTCAGGTGTCAGGATGGAGACAACTCACTACCAAGTGCTTACCATCAGTATTTACAAATCCTCCTGGAGAAGAATGGTTTAAAAAGTTACAAGTTTGGATGGCTTTTTACACTTGTTTTCTACCTGTTCTACTAAAGATCGTCATAAAAAAATATCCTGAGGGTTTTTTGAGCTTTCACGGAGGCTCAGCAACTATACTAATCACGACGGGGAGAGTAGATAGGGATAAACGTCGAGGATTAAACCGGATTATTTGATGACAGTTTTTTGTTTACCTTGGTGCAATTACCTTCTACGGAGTAAAGAGAGGAATTACTAGGGGAGGATTGGCTAAATGTGGGTATTATGGGATCCACCGTGAAGGTAGTCTCTCCAAATTTGGGTCTGACTGCACCACCAAAAAATTTTAGCTTTGGTTGTGAATACATAAAAACTTCTGGTGAAGCCTGTGTGGCATTTCGGGAAGGTGCGTTGGCGGCGCCTATCGTCTAGACTTGATGTCGGATGATGAATCATTGAAAGATGCTAGCGTCGAATGTGGAGGTGGTTCCCAAATTTTTGGCCAGAGTGACGTTTTTAGCCGATGGGCTGATTTGAAAGCAAGGTGATAAAAGACACTTCTCAGTCCTGCTAAACATGCGGGATGAGGCAATTCGGTTGCACCTACGGCAACTGGAGAAATTATGGGGAATGGAATTACGCATTTTCCTTTTAGGCACATTAACTTTACATTTCCTTGCTTCAGTGACGCGTGTTCTTTAAAAAACTCACTATATTTACCCTGGTAACTGACTTACTGCCTGAGTAACTAACTGACTAGTAAAGACATGTGGTAACATTCTTTATTGCAGCCCAAAAGATTCAGTCAATAGCCACCTTACCGCTTCAAACTTCTAAGACTGCACGCTCAACTCCATTTTTATATGACTGGCTGCTCCTGCTTCGTGGATGTGCATGTGATTCGCCAAAAGGGTTGCGGCCGAGCTCCTACCATAACTTGACGGGGGAAAAGTAAACCATCTTCCGCATTCTAAGGGAGTCAGGAATAGAGATTCAGTCTGAGGGAAATTCTCTTATTAGCTGTTATAAGACAAAACTAAGTGAGAAAATTCATACCCCAATTAGAATGATAGAGGAGAAGGGAGGCGCAGTCCTTCCTCAATCATATCCTACGCACTCCCATAGTCATCACACTTCCCCAAATGATTGGCAGTGACAACCTCCTACGACAAAACGACTTACGGACATGGAATTCATGAATACTTTCTTCCTTCTTTGTGGCTAAAAGCATTAATGCGCATTGCGTTCGTGAAAGTGCAGGATTCACAACTTCGAAAAATCATAAAGAAACTAGGTAACCACATAACCAGCCAACACTATGACCTTATTAAGGGAAGTGTTGCAATAGTTTTAGGACTATAGCCACGTAACCATGGCTCTAGGTAGCTTTCTGTCCACCAATTGTGCTTAAGTAGGTTTAATTAAAAGCCTCTCACACCTTTTGTTCCTTTTACCAAGGTAAATTATAATCACAAAGTAGGTTGGCAGGATATCTATCGTCTGCGACATTTTTAACAGTTAGCATATTTCTTTTGAATTTCATGCATAGATAAAATAAAGCAGTTTAGGTTTCAGATTTTTTTAGTAAATTCGCCCTTCACCCTTTAAATGCGTGCAGGGTTGCACGAATCAACTTGTTTGCTTTATCCGAATAATTCAAGGTCAGGCATTAAATTGAAAAGCAAAATGCCTTTAAATGTTAAGTAATTTGCCTGGGTTCTGTAATTTTAATAAAATACACAACTAAATGGCAAAAAAACTTGTGGTAACTTCCGATACTAGGGAATCGTTTCGTATCTTTAAAATACTTAACTAAATTTGGAGTAAATTTAAGAATCTATTTACCACTAGCGGCCTTCGCGATTCGTACTTCCGTCTTATGGATAGCCGGATGTGCACTAGCGATAAACCATTTCCTTCCATCGGAATGCCGCCTTATGTCTCCAGGGTAGACCTACGGCGCTACACAATTCTCTTGCTCCGCACTCCGTTTAACAAAATCGAACACTATTCTGTAATTTAGGAAGTAGATCATCTACCAAAATAAAGGGTTGTTTATAACAAATCCTACTAGGACTTATTTATTACCACTCAGTCTGGCCATTCGAGCTACGTGGCGTCGAGAGTAGAACCCCCGTAGGTTCACATCATTGACGAGTGCGCTTCACTTACCCCAAAGCTCGTAATTACACCTCTCCCGCCTTAAATACACTGTATTCGGTAATATGAGCAAAATATCCCACTTGGCAGAAGAAATTCCTCCATTCCAAAGCATCCCTTGATAAGCCACGTGATCGCCTCTTATATTCACTCGATTAGGCATTCCCTGATCTGAACAGTAAGGCGCTGTCATCACTTTGTTAGACTTTAGTGTAGGACAGGAGAAAAAAGCTGTCCAACTAGTCAGATTTTAAATAAATTGTGAGCTTCTTGAAAGAGGAAATCCTCATCCTTCATTGTTCATTTAGTAAAACAAGAATGAGGCAGGAACCTTGCGATTTATCTCGCCATCAAACGTCCCCGCTAAAGTTGTGTTCCTCTGTCGAAAGTCTTTTTAGTAAAAATGCTTTTTATTAATTTTCCTTCGTAAAGACGAAACGATGCATTGCACTCAAACAAAGTACTTTAGCACTCAAATTTAGCAAAAGAATTTATACATACCTAGTAGACTATTAATCTATTCAATTGTACAAAGTATGTTCAAAGTTGAATTGCCCCCCAAAATGTGTTTAATTCAGCAAAAATTAAAGAGGAAAGGTGACCTCAAAACGGAGTCAGATTTAATTAAATTCATAGCAGCTGTAAGACAACCAGGTTAAATGTCTACATGAATGAAATTTTCTTCACCTTTGACAGATATAAATGCCAGTGACACCATCTGTCATGATGACCTTATCACCTCCCCTCGAAATCACCACTGAGGTGGTAATAATAGGGCCTCCGATGGTGTGTGAACCTTTCAAAATGGTGGCACAACATTTCCAAAGACATGTGGTGTAATGACATTTATTTCCATGGTGTTGGGTCATTTCTACCTCCAATGCGATTCCTTCTACCTAATTTACGATGCCCCAGCCCCTTACGCGTGCTCTGCCAGGCTGTTGGGTCGTCTCAAAGGCTCTGGTGCTAGGACTCACCTTCATTTGACTGATGTTGCCAGGACGACGAAAGAGATCGCTGATGTGGATGCCCTGACGAGCAAGAAAGGCGAATAAGGTGAATACGGGTTCAGGAATGCTGGTATTTCGTTGACGCATCTCCTCCCCTTCCTCCACAAGAGAAAATTCCCCTCTTTCCTCCTCTTCTCTTGCTTCTTCTTTTCCTTTTTTCTCTTCTTCTTCCTCTTTCGCTGCGTGTTCCAGAGATTTCAATTCCCGTCTCATTTGGACCTCATACTGTTTGGAGGGAAAGGAAAAACAATACTGACTGTAATTTTGTTTCTGTCGTGTCGCTCTACGTTAGACTGCTCATTCAGGAGCTATTTTGGCAAGAACCGACTTCCTAGAAGTTTTATGATCTCTTTCCTTAAGAAATCCCTTCAGGATCACTGAGTGGACAAGGATGTAAACTGCCTCTATAAATACCTCTTCACTTAGGCAGCACGAAACCACCTGCAAACTAGTGAGAGGAAAGACCGAGGACAAATTAAAGTAGCTCCGGTACATATTCCTCGGGACCCTTTCTCCAGTCACATCGCTTCTCGCCGGGGTGACTGCTCTCCCGTCCTCTCGGTGCACCGGAAGGGATCATTGAGGGAGCAAATTAGATGCGTCCTTTGGAAAGGACTTGTTATGGATGAAAAGAGGAGAAGAGTCCTTTCATTTATTACTCGATGGCTGCCATGTGGAGGAGGGATTTTTGACAAGAAAATTGTCTACTCACTGACAAATCTCTACCTAGCAATTAACAATGGTCTTTCAAAGCTGACAATACAAAAAAGGCATTATGAAGGAAAAGAGTTCCTCAGCATTTGGAGAACAAAAGAAGTGTATCTGAATAGATGGGGTTTTTTCCTGGAGGCTGAGGGTTCGACCACCCCCTTGACGTCATCTCAATGCTGTCAGCAGACACTTCTACCAATTTTGCTGACTCCGTCAACTCAAATTTTATCCCTCTTGGAGGAGCTGTTCTTCAGGGTGGACTTGGATGCCGCAAAAACCCGTTTTCTTTTCTTTATTTCCTAAAGACATACAAGTGAAGTGTCCTGGATGACAGAGACTTAAGCAAGGTTGTCAAAGAAATTAGCTGAAAGGACACCGAGTTTACAATTGTTGCTTCCACATCCTACAGTGGTATTTCGATCACAGATTTAAGTTGGGGCTACCTCCTCTGCAACACCTGCGTTTGTTTAAATTCACCATTTAACTGCGCGGTCTGTTCCCCCTTTACGGGCTGAATCTCCGTTTCGGTGATGCGATGCTTCATCAGTGTCTATCCCGCTCTATCACTTCAAAGTGAAAGCCCCTAGTTTTCTCTTTTTAAGCTCTATTAATGTCAATGAATCGGTTGCCACAGCAACGACGCTACTCTAACATGTCAAAAGGTAGCTTCCATCGATAAAATTGGCTTGAACCATTCCCAACCAACAAGTTTTAACTCAACCCCTTCTTTCTCGCGGGGAAGAAAACGGTGCGTTGTCGAAGTGTGGAACATCAAGTTAGAAGACTTTGGTCCTTATTGCCTGCCATCTGTCAACGCACGTGAAACACTTTGTTTGGCCGTGTCCCATGACTTGCCTAGTTGGTGCAGTCGCAAGAGAATTGGCTCTTGCCTCACTTTTGGCGGGACTGGCGGCTGGTCTTGAATCATGGCGGTACTTCTCCATCTTTCAACAAATTGACGATAGGCCATTCCACCGCACCTTCCCAAGATGTGACACCAACTTCATCAGAAGGCATTTTCGCACATTTTGTTACCGAGTTACAGTCACCTTGTGGTGTAGTCAAGGTCAGGTTCTCTCCACATTTTGTAGCGGGTGAACGAGTTCAGGTATGGAGACAGCATAGCAAAGAGTGCCCGTTTGACCTACCGACTCAACTGCATGACTTATAGAGTGTGCATGTGCTTGACAAGGCCTCAAAATTGACACCAAGTTACTACAACGAGTTGAGTTGAGAAAGGAGGTTAAAATTTGTTCCAATCGGCTAATAAACAGAATCCATCAAAGCCGTCTGGTCTCCTACGTAGATAAGATGCTGTCGCCTTGTTGGCGAGCCATTGGCTTTCAACATCGCTGACTTCAGTGAAGAAGTTTTGTCTCATATTTAATGAAGAGGAGTGGAGGGAAAGAAAAAGGGGCGTGGGGATGTGATACAGCTTTCCAACTTCTTCACACACATAAGAAATGTTGAGGATCAAATAAAACCCTTTAGTTAAGTGGGTGTTCATGTTAGAGCAGTCCACCACCAAAAGGCGTTTTTAACAGGAAGCAGAAAACGCCTTCCATAGCTCCTCAAAATGTCCATCTTCCACACCCTGTCTCCCCTTCCCCTACCACTGCTAAAGGCTTCGGGCCAGGCAACGGCAACTTGACCGCCATCTCTGAATGTGGCATTGGTGTAGGCGGGGCAATTACTTTACCCACAGCTGTCTATAACAGGCCTTTATGGCTTCGATACAAAGTGAGTGTGTGGCGAGGCTTCAAAAAGTTGACAGAAAGGAGAAATTGGCTTTTACCCGACACGTTCTGAAGTTGAACGTCAGGATGTGCTTGGCGTCCACGATGCAGCTTCGCCAGAGCCTTCGACAGATGAAGGGACACATGTGGCTCCACACTTTCCCCCTATCCCATGGACTAAAGCAGCACCTACAGACGAAGAGGCAGTGTCGGCTTATGATGCCTGTTGCTTTATCGAAAAAAAAATACCTACTGTGCGTGGGGTGGAGATCTAGAACTGACAGGCAGGATCAGTGAAAGATCTACTCACAGGACGTGAAGGCATCACGGCTAGTCAGACTGACTGTCAGGTTCTTTGTCACTTTCAGGATGGAATGCCACAATAATGCGCTTCAATAGTTAAGCGGAGGAAGAAGTTCCCCTCGTTGAAGTCGTCTTCCATTCACAAGCGGAATTGGCATCGATGAAGAAAGTGAACAAAATATTATATCTCCTTCTTCAAAGATGTCTTACACTTGTAAGAAAGGTGTGTAAATCATATGCCCTGCCAAATAAAGGTATAAGCCTTTTCTGGGGGACCTAGCAGAGCATTAGTACTTCCCTTGGAGTGGAAAAAGGAGTACAGCCAAAAAAATTCCTTTCAGAGGTCAGCTAACCTAAACAGAAAGTGCTAGCCGTTTTATCTAGTCAGCTTTAAGTATGTGGTCCTTTGTAAAAGAGGTAGAGTTTATTCACTTCACTTTTTTTTCTAAAAGTACTCCATCCGCCACTTCCCACCTAACTCTCCCCCTCCCCACCAAGTCTTCTTCCCCCTTAAAGTGGAGATTTGGGGCAAACATCTGGTCTCTCAGGTGGTACATGCATTAATTAAAAGGGGAAAGGGCAAAAATGCATTTTAGTACGTGATTCCTTCGAATATACCTTTGATCATTCGACCGTCGAGGTCAACCTGGAAAGTGTGTAAAGGCCACGAAGGCAGGATAATTTATTAGCACCAATGACCTCGGCAGCCATGACCTCCAGCAGAATTTTTGCCATCTAGAAGGTGTTAATTATTCGGAAAAAATCTATATATATTCTTTTTAGTCAATTTGAATCCATCCCAACACTGATAAAACCTGCTGTCAAGCCTTCATTCGGTGGCTGGTTCTGATTGGTCAATTTTGGAACAGTGTCAACCAATCAATTGTCTGGATGATACAGAACCAATCGGAAGTGAGGAAAGCGTACTCAAAGTTTACATTTCAAATACTTTTGCAGTCAATTTTATGCAAAAAAATAGCAAAAGCATTATAGATTTAACCAAAAAGGGCATGAAACTGGGTCACAAATAAAGTATAGAACTTCTTCCATTCTGTAGTAGACTAAGGAGAACAAAAAACGTTTCCCGATGTCTTTCTTCTCCTCAAACTGTTTTAACATTTCGTAGAGACGCAGCATTTGTAATTTCGTGTGCAAAAAGGAAAATGTTTGTCTGTTTTAAGAGGCGACTCCTAAGTTATCCCTTTGGAGAATCCACTCAAACAAGTGACTGAGCAAAAGAATATCACCTCTTCATTTGGGCAAAAAATTGGTCAATAGAGGTTGCTTTTGTTAGCTATCTCCCTCCTCTGAAAAAAAAGGCCATTTGGGTAAACATACTGAAAAGAATCAAGAGGCCTTATACAGTGACAGGCAGTTTTTCCCCCATTCATTTGTTTTGGCTCGACACCGTTCCAATGAGTTAAATTTAGACTGGACCCTGACAGGGCAATGTCAGGCCTTTCAAAAGGCCTAAATATAGCCTAATTTCATGCTCTTCTCTAATTTTTTCCCTAAAGAATGGCGCCATTTTTATGTCAAATGGTTTCCACTTTTGTCTTTCCCCTTTTGCCCTTTGTGTGTAGGACAAACTTTTCTCGCTCTTCAGCTTAAATAACCTCCGCATGAAAGTGCTGGGAGAAGAAGGGAGAAATTAGGATAGAGAAGGCAAGAAGATGAATGGGGCTGTTTTTTGCACAAAAATGGGACGAATTGGGTTTACGACATCACCCGGAGGCAAAATTAATCAACCTAAGTAAGAGTCGCTGCGGAAAGGGAAGGACGTAAAAGGGAGGCTAAAAAACATTAAGATGGTCCCTGTAAGCTCCTAAAGATAGATAACCAAAATTAGTTTCTTTTCACAGTTCCCTCTTTTATAAATTTTCTCAAGAGCGAATTCATTTTTAAGGTGGATTAGTGTACCCGGATCTCTTGATCAGTTGTCAATGCCAGGTAGAGACGAGGACACGTGACCTGGCATCCGATGGTAAGGTGTTTGTCCTCAACCTTAGTCTCTTGTTTATACGTCTGTGTTTACCTACTTGGCCACAAACCAAGTCATTTATTCACCTGTCAATCCATAACCCAGAAGGACTACCTAAATTCCCCACATTTGACAACATACTGATACCAAGGCAGTATTTCGTCCGCATGCTTTTTTCCCTTCAATCTTTCAGACTGCTTTAACGTGTCAATTTGCTCGTTCGAAAAGAGATTTACGTCAGAATGGCTTATCGCTACTTCCATTTTCAGCCAAGCTTGAAAATGAGTAGGGCTGATTACCTGCCCCCATTTACTGCGGTTTGTGACCTCGGTGATATGCACGCACTTCATCCACATGTTCTGCATCAGCTACTGGAAAGAAGGGGCCTCGTCATCAGACTACCGATTTACGCATTGTAAGTGGGTCTTACATCTACGTACAGCAGAATCGCCTGTTCCACTGCCCACTTTTCGGTGGGTGGGAGGCTAGATTCCCGACGTGCCTACTAAAAAGTAGCTGCATCTACCTTTTACCGGTTTATTCAGTGTTAGTTAATTATTCCCGTTATTACATAAAACTTTTATATTTGTTCCTCTTTTACATTTAGTGCAAGAAGTTTATTGCCTGTTTAATGCGCTTAAAAAGGGTTAAAAACATTGGCGAATTTTTTGTACTCTCTCTCCAATTCTAATTGGTTCTAGTCCACCTGAACATCTGATTGGTTGACGCTGCTTTAAAATAAACCAATCAGAAAGGCCCATCAAATGCTCAATATCAGGTCTTGTTGCACATACTTTCAGACAATAAAGGCACACCGGATGGTGGGTTTAAGGATTTCTTTACTAACAGCGCATTCTCAAATAAAGAGAATGAATAAATTATACCTCCGGAATTATAGGCTTGGCTAGGAGATTTTTATGAAGTCCGAGTGGCTACTTGACATACCATGTCAGGTCAATGCAAATGCCACATCGAGGTGACGTGATACATTGGTGGTACTTTGATCAAAAAGTGACATTTCCTCCTCAAATAAATTAGCAACTTGTCTCCAATGGCACCGTCTAATTAGAACAAGCATTTTAGTGCGCCAAAAGTATTTTATTTATTTCTAAAAATTCTAAAAAAATGAAGACTTTATTGGTCACTAAGATTGTATAGTTGTTAAAGGTGTTGAAGAAAAAACGCCTTGTTATCTCCATCGCCAGCTAAGTGTCTCCAGAAGTCAACAATCTGGCCATGCCGCCCTGTTTCCTTCTCAGCTTAGCCTCATACCTGTCTAGTCGATTTCCATCCGGCTGTCAAAAGGGTGCTAAACATCTTTCGAGAAATAAGATGGAACGAGATAGTATCACCGCTCCTCCTTTCCTCTTTCTTTCATTCGCTTTCTTCCTCTACCTCTCTCTCCCCTTTCTAGCCCAACTAAAATGGAGCTCCCCTCACTCGTCAGGTCCTGCCTCCTTCTCAGGGAGGTCAACTTCTTCCCTGCACAGAAGACATACGAAGTACTCCAGAAATGGAGTGCAA